AGAAATGATATTCGCATCAACAAACGTTATTGTGATCGTACTAATGAAATGACAACCTAGCAAAGAGCCAAAGACGAACCTGGAATAATTGAGAAATGATATTCGCATCAACAAACGTTATTGTGATCGTACCAATGAAATGACAACCTAGCAAAGAGCCAAAGACGAACCTGGAATAATTGAGAAATGATATTCGCATCAACAAACGTTATTGTGATCGTACCAATGAAATGACAACCTAGCAAAGAGCCAAAGACGAACCTGGAATAATTGAGAAATGATATTCGCATCAACAAACGTTATTGTGATCGTACCAATGAAATGACAACCTAGCTAAGAGCCAAAGACGAACCTGGAATAATTGAGAAATGATATTCGCATCAACAAACGTTATTGTGATCGTACCAATGAAATGACAACCTAGCAAAGAGCCAAAGACGAACCTGGAATAATTGAGAAATGATATTCGCATCAACAAACGTTATTGTGATCGTACCAATGAAATGACAACCTAGCAAAGAGCTAAAGACGAACCTGGAGTAATTGAGAAATGATATTCGCATCAACAAACGTTATTGTGATCGTACCAATGAAATGACAACCTAGCTAAGAGCCAAAGACGAACCTGGAATAATTGAGAAATGATATTCGCATCAACAAACGTTATTGTGATCGTACCAATGAAATGACAACCTAGCAAAGAGCTAAAGACGAACCTGGAGTAATTGAGAAATGATATTCGCATCAACAAACGTTATTGTGATCGTACCAATGAAATGACAACCTAGCTAAGAGCCAAAGACGAACCTGGAGTAATTGAGAAATGATATTCGCATCAACAAACGTTATTGTGATCGTACCAATGAAATGACAACAAATGTTGATAATAACTATGATCATTCAGATTAGAAAGTTTTACAAATTGATCAATCTTCTTAACACGTGACGATCTAGCTTCATGTCGTGTTAATGGTTATGGCGCTCACAAAATCACTCTTCAACTTATCTTTCTCTTAAATTGCGATAATATTTAATGAAGAAAGTAAATAACAAACGTGAATTTGAGACTTATAACTTGTTGAGTTTAACAAAAAATAAAAAATAATGCAGAAACCTTATGGTGTCCATTTTCAACTCAGTTAAGCTAATCGTCAAAGAACAAAATAATACTTTTGAGTAATATGCTTTGAAAACATATTATACATTGTTGTACATTCATATCCCAGAACTGACAATCATAGGAGGAACATCGAATGGTAATAATCTGCTAGAAAGCGCATAACTCCATATGCAATGTGTGCTCAAAGCGCTACATTAGTATTACCCCTGTCGATGGATCAATGTGTACTTGATTTTTCATTCAAATACCTGGAGGTTTGTGCAGCTTATACTGCCTGTGATACGCTAGAAGGTTTATAATCAAATTACTTTCTCATTCTACCGGATACCCATTAAACGGAGATACCCACATTAATAAATAATGGGGACATTCTTTGCAAACTGCAGTTCTTGGAATGAACGAATCGCCTCATATCATACGTTTAGATGAGTTTTTAAATGATTTTGCAAATAATTCTGTATATTTAGGATTGTATATTGAGGGATTGAAAAACAGTTCACGTGGCTGTCTTGATATGTTTTGCTTGAAGAGGTGTGGTTTGTGTTATATTGCATCTGTGATGTTTATTTCTCTATTGTACTGTAAATGATTTCAATGAATGTATAATTTGCTCCTGTCGCAATTCGCCAGTAATATTGCCGATGCGACGTTAATTGTTACTCACTCATTCACTCGACCGCTCGATCACTCACTCACTTTAATCCGTTACGATCCGGGTAAGAATATGTCTTCAGCAACCCATGCTTGCCACAAAATGTGCGACTAACGGGACCGGGTGGTCAGGCTCGCTGACTTGGTTGATTCATGTCATTGTACCCCAATTGCGTAGATCGATGCTCATTATGTCAATCACTGGATTGTTTGGTCAAGACTCGATTAGTTACAGAGCGCCGTAATACAGCTGGAATATTGCTGAGTACGGTGTATAACAATAAACAAACAAACACTTACTTAGTCGATTTTTGCCTTTTGACATATAAGCGATTTTGTCGATTTCTCAATGTCCACCTGACAAAGACATTGTGGTAACGACATTCTTTTTATTAGTTCTCAAACGCTTCGAACGAACAGAAATTTAACTGATACGTCGATCATTCACCATTCCACCCTCAATCGAATGCGTAAAAAGCGAACTATGCTTGCCGTAAAAGCCGACTATGATTATCGTAAGTGGCGACTAACGGGATCGGGTGGTCAGGCTCGCTGACTTGGTTGATGCATGCCATCGATCCCAATTGTGTGGATCGATGCTCAAGTTGTCAATCACTGGATTCTCTGGTCCAGATTCGATTATTTACAAACCGCCGTCATATAGCTGTAATATTGCTGAGTGCGGCGTTAAACAACAAACAAACAAATAAACATAGCATGACGTCAACGTATACCGTATTAGTTCACTGTTCTTGCCCTAACGCGAGATGTAAGCGTCTGCAAGAAACTGTCTAGGTAAAACTCTCATTGCAATTACGCTGCAATCTCTATATGTGATTATCTGTTTATGTCCCGAGAAAATATACCATTCCCTAAGTAATACAGAAACAGATCGTAATTTGTCGGTCCTATCTGTTGGTGTAACTGCGCTTCCGTATCTTGCCTTTATTTCTATCTTGTGATACAGTTGTTTTAATTAATCATTGCTATCTTATCGTAATTTGAGAGATAAATTCGGAACTCATTCGATAGAGTGACGCCAATTCGGCTGTTTAATGAGCCGAACCCTCGCCGAGTTTAGATTACGTAAGACCCGTGATAACGCCCTGCACTTATTCACTAACACATACTGCTAAAAACCACGGGTCTGTACTATACAGCTTGTACATAGACATCGTGACGCTGAAATAAAGTGTTTTGAGTAACCTTTCGTGTCCGACTTTTCTGAATGATTCACACATATATTACAACATTTTTTTCAAATTATAACAATGCAAGAGTATGCCTGTTTGCTATGAAACACCGCTGCCCACATAGATCTCTTCTGGAGATATGTTTGGTAGAAAAGATGCAAACAATAATTTTAATCACAGCTTCAGTTCCCGGGTTGTAAGAAGAGATGCTCCTTTAAAACTTTACTGGAATACCGTGGACGCGAATTTCGGATTACGAACTATTTTCATTTTGTTTGGGTGTCTTTATTCTTTTCTCGCACACAATTTCTCCCTCCCCTAAACACAACGCACGCTCATAGCCCGATTTATTGCGAAATAAACAATAGTTGATATTTAAATATGATATTCTCTTTATATGTTGTTATAAGGGCAATATCGTGTTACTGGTGAGATTGGTGCGGGTAACAAGGCAGCGAGTCATTCTCTCAATCACGGATATACAGTTACAGTTGTCTCATATTTACAGTTTCTTTGCGTGGAAGTTATTTTACGTGCGCTTCTAACAGTATGTGCCATTGATAACGGTACAAGTGGCTCACACCCCGAAACCGGACTTGAAACACAGGGATGACTTTTGTTTCTTGGTTGATTGTTATTTAACTCAGCAATATGAAGGAGGCCTGTAAAAAATGTTTAAAGAAGGAAGATGTGAGAAATGCATGTACATGAGAGTAAGATGGTTCAAAGACAAAGCGTAAGCCTTTACTTGAACTGGACATTGGCCCGCAGGGTATTGTCTCCCTTTGTTAATTGACAATCCAGCCCCTTCACAATGGTAGCCCGTTCGCGGAGCTCTCTATACTGTCGCTGCCACCAGTCAAAACTCCCTACTGTGATAGGTGACCACAACCATGCTTGAGTTGAACTCGCAACCGACTGACCGTTATGTTTACAAACAAGTGATGACTGCCGTGATGCTGAATACTCTTACCCCAGCTTAATTATTTTCTTTGTTTGTCAATTTGAATTTCTATTTCATTCCAACTATTATGTAATTGGTATAGTTAGAATGTAACGGGGAAGTTAGGTGATTTTCTGATTGGCTGCAATCTCGAACCAATCTGATCACACAAACAACAAAGTAAATTCAAATATGGTCAGTCGTAAACCTTTTAAAATAATCTATGATGGCATTTCCAAAGACATAAACACAAGTATAAACGTTACTAGATTTGGGGTTAGAGGGCAAATTTCAAGGTTCTGGTAATGGCCGCGCATGCACTGGTGGCGGCGATGTTACCGAGAGTGTAACGAACGTGTCACGCGCTGCGAAGGACCTTGATTATCAATCTGCGTCGAATCGAAAAACATGATCATGAACGACCTGCATGTTAGTTCCCGGGCCCGCTCGCATAAACAGATCTTAGCTTCAAGACTTTTGTAAGTCTGTGTTTAAGTATTTTCAATGAATAGTTGCAGTAGACATTGTATTTGGTTTGGTTTGTTGTTTTACGCCGCACTCAGCAATATTCCAGCTATATGACGGCGGTCTGTAAATAATCGAGTCTGGACCAGACATTCCAGTGATTGATATCATGAACATCGATCCACGCAATTGGGATACGATGACATGCTTCAACCAAGCCAGCGAGCCTGACCATCCGATATTGTAATACATATGATTAATGAAGTGAGACATTGTCTCTATCATATTGTCAATCACTGGATTGTCTGGTGCAGGACAGATTATTTACAGACCGCTGTTACAGAGCTGTATTATTGCTGAGTGTGGCCTTAAACAAAATATAATATATTTTATATTACAGCAAGAGTAATAAAGCAAAACTGATATGCATAATTCATTTGAATTTAGAAGACAAACAAAGTGGGTTTGGGGCCCAGGCTAAACTTGCTTGGACTGCCTATTTGCCAGATCTACGTTTGTGGTCTTGTTCTATTATTGTTGTTCTATGGTTTAGGTTTAGAAAAAATATAATTCCATATGTTTGAAATGTGTAATGTTCTTTCTTGACTGTTCTTTTATTGTATTCTAGGTAAAGGTGTGGTTTCAAAACCGACGGATGAAATGGAAAAGGGTCAAGGGTGCTCAGCTCGTGCGGGACAAGGTCACAGGTCAACTGAAGCCCTTGATGACCCCGTGTGTGACGTCATCGGGTGGCGTGTTCAGTGATTCGCTGAAGGACTCAAACACAGGATCACGTGATCCCATGGAGCATATAAAAGAAGAAATGAAAGATGCCAAACTATGAAAGAAACTCTACATTCATACTGGTTGTAAGTGATCGTGAAATGACATCATCGTGACGTCATCATGACGTCATCGGACATGACAAAATGTATTACCCGAAGGCGGTGTGTCTCAGTTGGACCCGAAGCTCACACGTTGCACGTACAGTAAACACGGCAGCAGGAAACGACTGAAGGTGCTAAAAGGGTAACGTGGAAACGAAGAATCGACGGAAAGATTTACATTCAGTTCGCAAGAGGCAAACTGAATTATTCAAGACATGTTTACTAATAAGAAGACATTGTGTGACCTTTTTTTTCTCAATTGAGAATCTGATTATTATATGTTGTTCAGAATGAACTGTGGATTCATCTTAATATCACGTGAGAGATTGATGGGGGTGGTACACATGTAGGAGCAGTATAGAATTTGTAAGAGGGATTTCCTAATGCGGCTGTAGTGAAAGTTATACAGCAGTATGAACGTCTATGGGATAAGACAATTATACTGGTATATTCAGTGTGTTCGCTCTGAAAGGAGGCCTTCTGTCTTCTTACTAGGAAATTACGCGTAGCCTTCTTGTTTAATTAAAAGACGCCATCCAGAAATCATGATTTTTCAAACATTACTAAGGCATGCTTGTCGCTATGACAACACACGTGCTAAGATATAAGACTTATTGTTCATGCTAAGAAGTGAGACATGAAACGACGAGACACGGACAATCTATTCATGATGCATATGATGTATTGTACACACAAACTCTCTCAGATGTTCAGATGTTCCTGACACCGATCAAATGTTCCTGGTACCGATCACATGTTCCTGACACCGATCAAATGTTCCTGGTACCGATCAAATGTTCCTGGTACCGATCACATGTTCCTGACATCGATCAACAGTTCCTTGTACCGATCAAATGTTCCTGACACCGATCACATGTTCCTGACACAGATCAAATGTTCCTGACACCGATCAAATGTTCCTGACACCGATCAAATGTTCCTGGTACCGATCACATGTTCATGACACTGATCACATGTTCCTGACACCGATCAAATGTTCCTGGTTGCAGATAAAATGTTCCTGGTGCCAATCAAATGCTCCTGATACCAAGCAAACGTTCCTGGTACCGAGCACATTTTATAATACGGATCAAACTTTCCCGATACCGATCGATTCTGATACTCAAGGACGTCAACCACACGTCATAAGACGCAGCAAGTTGACTGACTTGGGAATCGGCAACATGGCATCTTCGGGCGATGAAATTTGAAGCAAATCTCTAATCTGATGTTATCAGTGTATTGTCAGTTTTAATTAAGTCGTGACTCGCCATCGTCCATCGCAATGTCAGTGCAACGTTTGGCATTGGTATAACACGCTGGCGTTTTGTAAACGATTAGTGATGTGGCTTTTTTTCAAATTGTCACCAGCTAATATATATTTCAATTTCGTCTTTCACTGAAATAATCTTTGATGTGATAAAGCTCTAGGTATATATACAAACCACCATACATCGTAAGGGTTTCAGTAAGAATTTTTTTTAAATAGATCCAACTTTCGTTTCCCAAAATGTTGGTCTTGATTTGTAGGAGGTAAGTAAACGAAAATGGTTACCGGAAAGACCACATACACTCTGAACGGGATTGAATGAATGGGCGACTTACACAGACTGACAGGCGATCTTACGATTCTCCATGTTAAAGTAAGGGTGTTACGATAACTTAGCGCTAAGATCACTTGTGGAACAAGGCCTTGGGCTTGTAACGAACAATCTTGGGATAATAAAAATCTAAAGATCCTGCACAATCTTGGATTATGATATAAACGTAAGATGTTCTGGCCTCTGTATCAGTCAGATCACGGCTAACCCGTAAGGGTCTTGTGTACTGCTTTTCTTCGTGCTGGCCCTTGTTGACGGAGGATGGACTGGATGGGTTGCTCAGAGTCCCTGCAAAAGCATATATAGGGGCCACAATCGTAAGATTGTTTCTACGATCCTGGAATATGATAATATTCCAGGATTGTACAGGAAATCGTATGAGTTCTTTTATCCCAAGATTGTATTAACAGACCCACGTACATAAAGCGATCTTATTGATTGGGCTATTGCAGCGTTATGTTACGACAGTAAGCACTTTACTTTGTGCAAATGGTTCACTGTGATGAATTTCATCTCTCTTGAGAATGACGACCTGTCTCCTATTTGTGGATAGTTTGGAAGATTTGGCGGTATATTAAATCCCTAAGTCCGCAATAAGAACAAAATAAGTCAAAATATATCCCGATTTTTACATGCATCGAATACTTATACAGAAGTTATTGATTTTAACAAAGTAGGACTCTGTGTTGAGAGTTTTAAGGCTTGAAGAATTGGAAAAGAGCCTATTCAGAGGTACAATTAAGAAACTGGTTATGGCTAAATATGGGTGTCTATATATCATGGTCGCAACAGTCACATTGGCAATATACTATGGAAGCGCCCCAGTGTCACATTCAAAATATCCGGAGGTGTGGTAAAAAAATGTTAAAAAACAACACAAGGCGTCATCAATATAAAATGACCCAGGTACATCAAAATACAGACTAATTATACATTAGTATCCATACTTAGACAGGAACAAAGAAAACGGGAACGTTACGTTTTTGCATTGACAGACAGTTAAACCAGTTGAGCACACGTCACCGATGTTAATTCTTCCTGACCTCACTAATGGCAATGTGAGTACTATTATAATGGTTGCCAATGGCGGTTTGACGTGAACGGTAATGTTTGAAATATTTAATACTCATTGACATTGTTCCCTATTTCCCGATGTATGTACATATCGTGCCTTGAAAGTTCATTGTACGACAACACGGTCACTTTCTGTATACAATGGCATTTTGTATATACTCACGTGGTGGTATGACGGATATATATTAAACCGATCACATGTAACAAACAGTATCTATCCGCCCTTAAGTGACAGATACAAAATGTTACACGTAATTTGTCTTTACACAGGAAGGATTTATTTGGAAAAAATGATTTAAGAATAATCATCAAATCGGATGCTTGATATACTTAACATGCGTAAAATGTTGTTTTTTATTATTTTTGTGGGGAAGTCTGTAGGTATGTGATGTTGGCTATGCATTTTGTACGAAAATAAACATTTCTCTTCAAGAAGCATGAATTGTATCCTGAAAGGTCGGTTGTCAACACAACCGATATATCGATATATGGTAAAATCTTTTGTGCTTATATGAAATTGAATATTAAAATGTTCACGAGCATGGTTCCTGTGGAAATGGTTAACTCAGGATGAATTGCTAGTAAGTCGGGGTTTGTCAACAGTGTGGACATGCTTTTTTGTAAACCTGCTGCTTTCATATTTGCATTGAAACAAGAAACTGTTGCAAAGGTCGATTTTGTGTAACTTTGTTTTAGGTAACTGAGCTTACATATTGCAATTACATGTTCTTTATAATGAAGGTGAATCAGTGATGGGGCGCCTGTTTCTGTCATGTATGTATGTTTTGTATACTAACAGTCAATGATGTAAATGTTATTGAATAAAGCATTAGGAAACGTCAGCTTGTCTTTTTGTTTACTTGTTTTACTGATTTGTTTTCTGAATGCTTTAAAGGATGCAGGTACTTAATTTTTTAACGCTTTAAGTTAAGTCCTAGATTTGCCTTGATTACGAACTGTCGAGCAAAAGAAATTATACACCCATGTTTGGTGGTTGCTAGAAATAGAACAAACAAGAAATCGCCATTTGATGGTGATGTTTGTTTGTTTGTTGTTTAACGCCGCACTCAGCAATATTCCAGCTATATGACGGCGGTCTGTAAATAATCGAGTCTGGACCAGACAATCCAGTGACTGACATCACGAGCATCTATCAACGCAATTAGGATACGATGACATGTATCAACCAAGTCAGCGAGCCGGTCCACCCGATCCCGTTAGTCGCTTATTACGACAAGCATAGTCGCCTTTTACGGCAAGCATGGGTTGCTGAAGACCTATTCTACCCCGGATCTTCACGGATCCGATGGTGATGTATTTGATACGTGTATCATAGTTGTTTTTTGGACATAAAGTTTCCAATTTTTCGGCGAATGTTTTCAGTCAATTAACGTTTTTGATAACGTTTTGAATTTTTTGGTCAAATCCGTATATTGAAGTGTATACTTTCTTTTGCCCGTAAGTGTATGTTTGGCAGCACACGTCGTGGGTTTAATCAAACTTGGTAAACACTCACTCACTCACTCACTCACTCACTCACTCACTCACTCACTTGCGGTAAATGTAAGCACTTGGATTATATGGTACGTGTTTATGGCAAACAAACTCTTGAATGGGTTAGTTTCATATGAAATCATGGCGATATAGACGTAAGGAGTTCATCTTAATACGATCACTCTTTCCCTGTATTGGGGTTGGATGACTGTTGTTTCTCCACTGATGCATCTGTTGTCTGTTATTTTCATTTGAAAATCAATCAACGCATGTGTGTCCAAACAATGTCCGCCTACACATTCTAACATAATTCTACATGGCGGTTGAGATTCTACCTATCGCCGTATCGTCCAAAGATACCACGATAAAGTGATACTATGATACGATATTGCGATATAATACAGCGATGTTGCTATTCAGCCAAAAAGGAAATAGCTATAACATGCAGCGACGAAGCGGTAACACGACACAACATGATGACAACACGACACGACACGACACGACACGACACGACACGACATGGCGACAATACGAAACGACATACTGACAACACGACACAAAGTGGCGACAATACGAAACGACATACTGATAATACGACACGACATGGCAACAACACGACACGACATTCTGATAACACGCCACGACATGGCAACGACACGACATTCTGACAACACGACACAAAGTGGCGACAATACGACACGACATACTGATAACACGACACGACATGGCAACAACACGACACGACATACTGATTACATGCCACGACATGGCAACATCACCACACGACATACTGATTACACGCCACGACATGGCAACATCACCACACGACATACTGATAACACGACACGACATGGCAACAACACGACACGACATACTGATAACACGACACGACATGGCAACAACACGATACGACATACTGATAACACGACACGACATGGCAACAACACGACACGACATTCTGATAACACGCCACGACATGGCAACAACACGACACGACATACTGATTACACGCCACGACATGGCAACATCACGACACGACATACTGATAACACGCCACGACATGGCAACAACACGACACGACATACTGATAACACGCCACGACATGGCAACAACACGACACGACATTCTGATAACACGACACGACACGACACGACACGACATGGCGACAACACGACACGACATGGCGATAACACGACACGACATGGGGACAACACGACACGACTTAAAGCTATCGCAATATCACCTCGTATCACCTCCATTCATGTGGTCAAGGGGCGGTGGGGTAGCCTAGTGATTAAAGCGTTCGCTCGTCACGCCGAAAACCCGGGTTCGATTCCCCAAATGGGTACAATGTGTGAAGCCCATTTCTGGTGTCCCAGGCCGTGATATTCCTTATAATATTGCTAAAAGCGTCGTAAACTCGTTCACTCACTCATGTGGTCTACAAAAAGCCAATCTTTATGTCTTTATGTTATGTTTATGTTCCAAACGATAAAAGTCTGAATTATTAAAGATAAGTACGGGAATTTAATGCAGAATTGTTTTAAAAAATTTATACATTACTCGGTCCATATATATCTTTGTATTTATTGATTTTATAGTACGCACATCTCAGTGAGCTGATGAAACATCACTTAACACGAACAATCCTCCACTTTGTTCACGGAATGTATGAGTGAGTGACTTCGGTTCTAGCCGCGTTTAATTGCATTACATCACGGCTGGCCGGCTTATATGGGTTGGGAGCCTGAAATTTTGCAGGTCGGGGATCGTGCAGACAAACCGAGAATCATAACCAGGCCGAATTCGGGACACGATCAGATGAATCAGGTCAAAGAAAATTGCGGCGCGTCTGACAATTGGTTAACTGCGGTTACCACGTCCCCTCATCCTTTCAAGGTTTTCTATCAGAACTGAGGGTTAAGGATTGACCCGTTTGGAAAATGTGCCAGTGCCCGCTGTAAGATTTACAGCGCACTTCTACATCTGATTCGCCCTAAATAATATATTACTTTGAAAATTTATATACAAATCGCTTCCTTAATCACTTACTTCATTTATTCCTTTATTATCATTATTATTATTATTATTATTATTATTATTGTTATTTTTATTTTTATTAATATTTCCTCGAAATTTAATTTTGAATAAAGTGTCTAGACTGAAAACAAAAACTGGAACGGGTTCTCAAAACTAGATGTCGCCCTTAGGAAACTATATTGGTATTGTTTTTGATCTGACACCCTCTTTCAAAATTCATTACCGCCGAAACAGAACATACGTATTCGAGGGTCAGTTTTGGTAGGGGGATTTATAAATATTTTAGGATTGGAATCAATAGGAGATGTAGATGTAAAATGCTCATAATATTTATCACTGGTCTGTCTGGGTCACACTCGATTAATGAATGCCACGATATTCAACAAACAAACACCTAAGAACATATATTGTACATGAAATTTATATGATATGTGCTTCCATTCTGTTAGTCGGAGTATGCCCCTTCACATTATGGAATATGACTCATAATGTTATTCCGGAAAGAGTGGGTAGAATTGGTAGAGTGAGTGAGTATAGTTTAAGACCGCTTCGAACAATTTTACAGTGTCAGTTTTATGTTGAGGAAAACCCGAAGTGATGCAGATCTTTTATGAAACTAACGAACGCGGGTATTGTGCTGACACACCTAGAAACATAATCGGGGTGATCGAACCGTTATCCGAACCCTATATATATATATATATATATATATATATATATATATATATATATATATGCAAGTGTTGTATGTTTCATACAAACATGGTTATAATTAAAATATGAATACCTATCAGTTTCAAACCAAGAGGTTTGTTCAGATCGCAAACAATGGAAACATTGCTAAAGGGACGTAACTCCAACCATTCGCGCTGTTTCGTTACCAATGCACTTCAATTGACTTATTGCGTCAGCTACGGGAACACCTACCTTTCGATCGCCGGATCCATGGCAGATCAATCTGCTTAAATGATAATAGTGTAAGAGAGGACCTATTCTGTGACCGTGTGTGAAAACTTATAAAAGCTTACAGATTAGATTGACACACATAAAAACGCGGATATTTTATGGCAACTTTTTTTAGAATAAGATGGACGGAGTTACTTCCCTTGCGCTATTGATTCCCAAGCAGCCACCAGTTGGGCCGAGGCACAAAGACAAGGTAAAGAGTAACTGTTTATAATTTTACTTTTTAATTCATTTGACAGCTAAGCAAGATCTTAAAGGTTAGTGACCAACATATGATTAATGGAAAACGAAACAGGGTGAATCAAATTAGTTCATTTATCGCAATAAATATATTCTAAATTTAGACGACACGTAATATGAGTCGCAACTTCTGTTTTGTTATGTCAAGCTGTAGTATCACAAGGGGGAAAATATCCCACGAACTCTGTCTTTTTGGTTTTGTAAATGAATATGTGAATCTGGGTATTGGTATGTATGTCAGCGAGGAACAGAAATGCGGTCACTGGGTCATTGACCCAGTTAAGGAAAAGATTTTACTGCCGTTTCTATCAATAGTGCTCGTAATAGACGCTATCTAAGGGACCGATCATTTAATATTCTGGACAGAATAATATTTTGGGCACTGCTTCCAATTTCTCCTTTTGAAAGGGGTAGGCAACAATATCTTGAGGACCCACGACACAGTTTTTTGTCAAGACATCCAGTGAACATTGATAGGTTTTGTTTTTTTGTAAAACTCGAGTCAGAAAATCACAATGGGAATATGAACCCGTCCCTTGCAATTATGCTACAGTTGATTCAGCCCGTGACCTCGTCTGTCTCAGAGTACCTTACCCAAATATTTCCCTTTCGCCCAGGCCTTACTGTCATGGGATAGCCCTAAACGAAGCAAGTCTAGATTGTCCAGGGGTTCTGAAACTCAGTGGGGCTCCTTTTCCACTTTAAAGGGGCACTGATCTAACGCAATTCCCCGGGACTGGTTGTTGCCTTTGTTATTGTTTTTTCCCAGTAAATACCCGGATGTATAGCAGAAATCTAGACTAGTTCGCGACCTCTGCTGCGCCTTTCGTAAGCGCATTAGTCACTTTTATGGATAGTAATAAGGGCGTATGGTCACATTGATCAACAAAATGAAATACAGTTTTCGAGATAATAAGGAAATGTAGGTATCTTTGTGAGTAGCATCGGTAATGGTGACGAAGTTTTGATAAGTCACTTGCTTGGTAATTTTGCGATTTTTGTTTACACTATTTTGACTTGCAACACAAAGTATATATTTCACCTGAGCATATGCTTTTTTTATAGTGTGTATATTTTTTTACTGTCAAATGTGTAACAAATTTATTAAACGTCTAAATATTCAGTTATTTTACAAAGTGACTGAAAAACATTTCCATCAAATATACGAGAAAACGTGGATGACAACAAGGGAGTAGTAATCGTATTATCGACGCAAGCCGAAATCCGAAAATGCTTTCACTGCATGGATACTGTTTTTAGTATTAAACTATACCATCTGGGGTATTTCCAAATGACGACATCCGATGAGCTCCCTTGTTCTTTTTGTCTGTTTGTTTAGGCTGAAGAAATGAATTTACATGCGCCCTTTGTCGAAATCTTTATAGATCACAGTTAACCAATCAGTGTTCAAAAATGCGTAAAAAAAATATTGCCTCCAGCCTCCAAGTTTATTTAGCTGTCCTTGCAGACGGTACCCCAGTCTCTGGTCACGCTCAGTTGCGTTGCGTATCATCCGGGTACTCACGGGGGGAAAAACAATAACAAAGGCAACAACCAGTCCGTTAGATCAGTGCCCCTTTAAATGTAGTTGCTTGTTTCTATCACCAATATATATTCTCAGAGCGTTAGTCTAAGAGTGACGTTGTGACTGTATCTGACATACAAACTGTGCAGATACATATAGTCAAGTCCCGTAAATCCGACATCGATGGTTGCACATGATTATGTCGGATTAACGAGTATGTCGGATAAACGAAATCAATTAGTAGTATCAACGTTCGTGATGTATTTGTCTTCTTGCGATTTCCTCCCAAATAGTTAATAGTTGTTTATCTCTGTTACATCAAAACATCACTCGGCTTCAAACTACCAACTCAAAATATAGAATTTTTTTTGTATATTTAATGCCCGACTCGGCAATATTCCAGGTTAATGATGACGGTATGTAAATAATCAAGTCTAGACCAAACAATCCAGTGATTGATATCATGAGCATCAATCCACTTAAATGGGATACAATGACATACAATCAACCAAGACCACCCGATCCAAATAGCTACATTTTACCACAAGCATTGGTTGTTAGGGATCTATATAGTCTTACCCATAATCCCCACAGGTGAATAGTGAGTGAGTGAGTAAGTGAGGTTTTACGCCTACTTTAGCAATACCACGGCGGGGGACGCCAGAAATAGGCATCACACATTGTACTCATGCGGGAATCGAACCTGGGGCTTTGGCATGACGAGTGAACGCTTTAACCAATACACTACCCCAGCGCCCCCATGGGTGAATAAGAATGGAGTACATTAAAGGATTTATGTCATAAATTGTTTGTTGGAGCATGCCAATAAAGATGCTCCTAAAATATTGTATTGAAATAAACTTAACCATTAATTTAATTACTGTTTATGAAATTCACCCAACGATACACAAATAGTGTTTCATTATCAATTGCAATTTTGAAAGCTGTCGTTTATGTTAACCTGGATTCAGCCCACGAACGTCACGTGTCCGCTATAATCTATACGTGACATTAAAGATAATGCTATGATTGTTAATTATATTTCAGGAACATGTTTAGCATCTAGATTGTTCAGCATCAGCATCCACAGTCACAGTCAGCCGTACTTTACACCACTGTCCCACCGCCCGGGCACACTTATTCATGAACGTGCGTGATCCAGTTTTACAACTCTGCGACAGCCGGGCTGCATGGACTTTCCACAGAAACGACGCAGCTGTGAAAAAAGAAGGATTATGAGCCATGACCTATGGCAAGTAACGGGATCAATGGTGTCCAGCTGTTTAAAAAAAGCATTATGATGTGTTTTTGCCAAACTGTCAAGTTAAAAACACCGATGACACTTTCAAAGGAGATGATACACCTGGCCGCCAAGGATGTGTACAGACTTATCGTATGATGCAAATTGCAATTGGGCTTGAATACTCAATACTCACAGGAAACCTGAACTATTTTCCATATTGAATGCAAGAAGTGGCATGTGGTTGTAACAGAATAGATTTATATGTGTGATATATTAATTTTCAGAAGCGAGTATACACGTAGTCCACAACGCGAAGGTGATATTCAATGAAGTTTAGGGTCTCCGCTGAAGGTGTTAATCGAATAGATGACTTTGGGAACTGTAAGCCATATTCAGCCGTGTATCTGAGTATATGCTAAGCTGACAAATGTACATATAACATAGTAAGTGTTATTGCCATGGATACCTCGGAGGGTGCCAAATCAGGGGTACAAATGGAGAGTCATGTTCGAAATATTTCACCAGGATGTCCTGACCAACATCACAACCCTGTTCAGTTTCCAGACACAGAATCATGCCAAGAAAACAGATGCCATGAACGCGACAATGAAATGAAGCCAACAAAACCCAGCCTAGACGAATGGAACGAGTTGACCAAATTCATAAGAAACAATAACCTTGAAAACGTAAGGCTTTGGTTCGAGTCTCGGGGTTTAGGTTCAAATGCCAAAGACCTCTGGAACATCAATTCCTATTGGCCTCTTCAGACTGCTGCGGAAACTGGATGTGTTGCCATTTTGGATGCTCTACTTGAGTACGGGTTCGATGCTTCGGGGTCCTTCTTTGGGGACGGTCTGGTTCAGTGTGCTTCAACTAATGGCCACGTTGGAATGATCAGAAGATTGAGTCAGCTTGGCCTACCATTAACGTCCAACGAAGACTATGGGTTCACGCATTTACACTACGCCGCAAAGAGCGGTGGTGATAATTCCCGCGCGATCCAGTATCTGAAGCAAAGAGGGATTGACCCCAACTCTAAGAACTGGTTCGGCGAGACTGCGCTACATGTAGCTTCCGGTGAAGGATCGATCCATAACGTGCATGCTTTGATAGAGGCTGGAGCGTCTGTGAACATTAGAACCACAAGAGGGATATCTCCTTTGTATAGGGCATTAAAGAGAGATGGCGAGGTTCTGGATCATGTGGAGACGCTTCTTGAAGCTGGTGCTGTTTCCCTCTGGACACCAAGCAAATATTGCGAGTTCCATGCAGCCAGTAAAGTAAAGAACCTGTCTGTGATTTCGTTACTCGTGTCTATGAACTTCTATATGACAGGCGAGGGTTGTGGCTGGGAGGACAGTCCCTTGTATAACCTTGCCATGATGGCCAACTCAGACAGAGAGCAGGCCATTGATATCACCATCAGGGGTGGTTATGATATCAAGCCCGATTTGGCATGGATACTGGACGATAGACACTATCCCGCCTTCTTTGAGAAGGAAGCCCTTAGAAAGCAGTTGATGTTTTATGCAACTAACCCAATGACTCTGGTACAGATGAGTTGTGTGGTGATACGGAAGGTGTTGGGTCCATCATTGCCAGCCACGTTGCCGTCTCTGCCTTTACCAGAAAGACTTAGAGATTGTGTAAGAATCCGTTGATGTCCTACATGGCCATGGTGTCTTCTTCAAGTGAGTGAGTGGTTGGTTGGTTGGCTGTTTTGTTGTTTTACGCCGCACTCAGCAATATTCCAGCTATATGACGGCGGTCTGTAAAATAATCGAGTCTGGACCAGACAATCCAGTGATTGATATCATGCGCATCGGTCCACGCAATTGGGACCGATGACAAGCATTAACCAAGTCAGCGAGCCTGACCACCCGATCCCGTTAGTCGCCTTTTACGACAAGCATGGGTTGCTGAAGACCTATTCTACCCCGGAATCTTCACGGGTCGTGTGGTGAATGAGTGAGTTGTGTTTAACCCAGTGAGAGCCCAATGTGATGTAGGTTTTACTACTTTGGTGTTTGTTTAACGGCGCACTCAGCAATAGTCCAGTTAATGACGGTAGTGTGTAAATACTAGAAATCGAGTCTGGGCCAAACAATCCAGTGATTGAAACCGAGCATTGACCTACGCAAATGGGATAAGTGGCATCAGCCAAGTCAGCGAGCCTGACCACCCGATCCCGTTAGTCGACTCTTAGGTTGCTGGGCTGCCGAAGACCAATTCTAACACAGATGGGACCATGGGATTCCCACGGGCTTGTCAACCCAAGGATCATAATCAGGGCGAATTGCAGCGCCTTGGACGATTTGACCATCCGCTCCCCTTGAATTTCCAAAGAACATTGTCTAGGTAAACTTGAACCTCATTTATGTGACCGGTTATTCCACAGGTCTCGACCGAAGTGCCATATCATTCATCAAACTCGTATCTTTCCATAATCCACTAAAGTGTCCATGGTAACGAGTAAGGGCGGTGTTGGGGAGGAGCCCGGTATTAACTTTGTCTCCCTGAACACGTGAATATGTTCATCGAGTATAATTTGTAAATAATTATTGACAAAGTAATCTTGATTTATTGTACGGAACAAACCATTTCTAAGAACGCAAAACCATTTCGTCCGTTGTAGGTAGAACATATGCATCTGTTAAATGTCTTTCTTTATTTCATGTTATCAGTTATTCAAAGCAAATTCAATAGGATTTGTTTACTTTTATGTTACTTCTGACATATCAGCGGACACGTGTATGTAATTACGCCTCCAAATAAGTCATTTAGTGCCATCTGATATAGTGCCATATGTACAGTCGAACCTCACTTATCCGTACACTTGCATTTTTTCAAATATTGTCCGGATAAACGAGTTTCCGGATATCTGATTCCCTTGTTAACTGACCAATTACCCCCCTACCCAAATTCTGCCGAGGTATGTGTGAGTGAGTGAGTGAGTATGGTTTTACGCCGCTTTTAGCAATATTCCAGCCATATCACGGCGGGGGACACCTGAAATGAGCGGCTTCAAACGTTGTACCCATGTCGGGAATCGAACCCGGGTCGTCAACGTGACGAGCGAACGCTTTAACCATTGGGCTACCCGACCGCCCGAAGTATGTGTGAAATGAATTGTAGAAGTATCATATGTGAATACTCGACCAATCAGTATATAAAATACATTGTGCTGTACAGACCTACGCCACAGGGCTGTGACAACGCCGTTAATTATTGAAAACAGCTGGTGCTGGAAGGAACGCATTTAGCCTGGTTGATAATACGCTTGTTTTGTATACGCGATGTGAGGGAGAGGTTGGGGCAACCTGCCACACATAGACATTAATTACAATCGTGTTTACCTCCACGAGATGAAACTCATTGATGTGTGAAAAATGAAATATAGAAATATGTTATGCACGAATTTACCTTACATTATATTATAACCCTGACGGAAAAACGTACGAAACCAAATAGCTGGGCTTTCGCGTTTATCCACTATTATGAATCTTTGAATGGTTTTGGCTTGTGTGAAATCGTATACGTCCTACATATCAAAAGGTGAAAATTAACAATAACTTATATATGCCCTCCTTTCCTACACACATGCTGCAGGGCGTGGGACACAAATCAGCTCGGAACACCGTTTCAAAAGGTAGCGATTTAATGCAATAATCTACTGCAGGTGCATGCCGTTGTTGTCAGATGCAATCCATATATATATATATATATATATATATATATATATATATATATATATGACTGATCCCCCAACACACACACACACACATATATATATATATATATATATGTATATATATATATATATATGCAGATATATGACTGATGCGCCCCCCCCCCCCCCCCCCACACACACACACATACATACACATTTATATATATATATAGTTGTGTGTGTGTGTGTGTGTGTGTGATCAGTTGTCACGTGAATAGTTTTACATTTGCCTCGAAATACAGGGTTACTTTTATTTTTGAGTGTCAGATGAAAGAACACTCGCTATTTTCTACTTTACATTACTTATGTTACTTTACCTATATGCAGCTGTCGTCGTTGGGGCCTTATATATCAAGACATTGGTAAGTTGTTATTTTTAATATGTAGCAGTTTGTTGTTAGTGACACACCTCCGGACTGGATTATGCATGCGAATGCGATGAAAATAAAGAAATTTGTGTGTGTGTGATATAAGTGTAATTTTATTTGTTGGAGGGGGAGAGAGAGAATAATGAAACATCGTTAGGGAACATCCATTTGTTTTTTATTGGAGAGTATTAATGAGAATTATGCCCCAAATGAATAGTTTGTTGGCAGTGGTATTTAAATGAAGAGTTGATTTAGCGGAAATTACCAGAACGTCAATATATTGTGTTAATAGTGAACATTATTAGATTGTATGATCTTACTTAGTAAATAAATAGTTTGTCGGATGCAGCTGGGAAACACAGATGCTCCCTTATCTAAATGGCACCTTTTAGGGTCATGAGAGATTTTTTTTTCGCCACAACAAAAGCATTTTATAAATATCCCACATACGTATACAACTTCGATATTTAAAAAGTAGTGTTAATCCATTGATTCATCTTTTCATACAATATACACATTAATTACACACACTCGAACACTATACACATTACAAGCAAACCGATGTTAATGCACACATACATATATAGATACCAGCCGAAAAAAGTAACTTGCCTTCATATAAAGTTCAATGAAAGTAAATTTGTTCTGAAACAAAATAATGCATCATTCAATACATATTCATGAAGACATCTTCTGGACTCTAAGGGAGTGGTTCACCGTTAGCATGTGCATGTTCATGCACAGCGCACAATTTGGATGTTTGTGTTTGTTGAGATACTCACACACGTTGTTATTTTTATAATGTGAACTGTACAAAATGGTTGTTTAGTTATCAGGTATTCATAAAAAGAGCCCTTTTATTTAGACGTAAAAAACGGAATCGATAGCAAACTGCCACATTAACAGCTCGGACAATTCCTGGTTTGAGACCAGTTAGTGGCAGATGCGTGCGCAACCGGTTGAGGGAGGACAAAATCCGGCCCCGAAATACAGCATCACGCCCAATTTTGCTTCAAAGTCAGGCACGCCAAGCTTTGTGTAGACTGCATCTGGGTGTCTGTGACAGTATACTGTACTAGATGAGTATTATACTACAGGTTCAATCACGTATAGTGAGGTGGCTTAGCGCCAGAATTTGCCTTTACTGTTACCCGGTGGAGGAAAACACCAAACTAAGCATGTTTTAGTGTGTTTGTTTGTTTGTTGTTTAACGCCGAACTCGGCAATAATCCAGCTATATGACTGCGGTCTGTAAATAATCGAGTCTGGACCATACAATCCAGTGATTTACATCATGAGCATCGATCCACGTAATTTGGATACAATGACATGCATCAAACCAAGTCAGCGAGCCTGACCACCCGATCCCGTTAGTCGCCTCTTACGGCAAGCATATTCGCTTTTTACGGCAAGCATGGGTTGCTGAAGACCTATTCTACCCCGAATCTTCACGGATCATCTTTGCATGTGAATGCATTCTATCATTATAATAAGTTTTAGGATAGTAGCCAGAAAATCCAATATGGTCGACAAACTGTTATTGCTTTTAAACTGTAATTTTTCAAAACTAATTTTATGATTTCATGTCATATATCAAATGAACGTTGTTTTTCGGTTCTTTAACGTACATGTGATATTTGTACTGTATTGTGCGCGTGAAACACGTACTGTCCCCTGGAAGGTGTAGTGTTTCCCGCCTGCTTGAGAAAGAACTTGCTCACAGTTTGGGTCCTTCATAACACTGACCATAAGCGTATTTCAGTTTCCTACCTAGACAAATTTTGGTGAACCGACACCATATTCACCTTCATCAGCTTCCAGGCATTCTCTCAAAGACAATTATGCCTACGTTCCAATTGTGGCACTGAAGGCAAATACTATTAATGTACCTAGATGTGCATGATGCTGTACTAGAGCTGCTTATTCGAGGTCAAGTCTCGGGAAAAGAACTCTTAGACAAGGACAATCTAAAGGTCGAGGATGCTGTTGAGTGGTCAACGGTTCCATTCACCCTCTCTGGATTATCCACCATCGTTACTCTTTTATGACAAAGCTGCCACACCAGCCATGGTTAAGTAGGGGATGAATGTGATTAGACAGGCTACGGAGTACTTGACCCTGGGCAGATTACTTTTAAATGCCTTGGTCAGCTCTTGTTTGTGAGGGGGCACGGGTGGCCCAGTAGTCTAAGGCGCCGCGATTCGCTGTGCAGAGTTGCGTCCCTTGGGCACGCCAGAAACCTATGATTGTGGGTTCGAATCCCGGTACGCCCCGATTATGTTTCTAGGTTTGTCAGCACCATACCCGAAGTGGTAAACGTCTGAGACCTGCATCACTTCGGGCTTTCCTCCCACATTAAGCTGACACGCCGCGATATAACTGGAATACTGTTAAAAGCGGCGTTAAAACCAACTCACTCACTCACTCACTCACTAACTCACTCACTCACTCTTGTTTGTGAAGGAAAGACGCCCTTGCTGCTTATAATTACATGGCTTTAGATCGGTAAATCATAAAATATACGTCATGTCGTCTGCACATTACTTGCCATTATACAAAATATGTTGAGACGTCAAAGTTTTGATCAAATGTAATATGGGTTTATGCCAAAAGGTTTTTAGGTTAAATCGGTAACTAAATGATATTCACTTTACCACGAAGCTATTCTGAAAGAATGATCTTAATTGAAACAAGGCATCAGACGCCCAGGATATTTCCGGTAGGTCTGTTTGTGTGACATAAAACGTCGTCGCATGACTCCAATAGATGTAAATAAATAATGAATCAAGATAGTAGTAAACACGAGACGTTTATATGAGCGTCGTTGAAAGATTACCCCGCCAGAGCAGTGTGTTGTGAAGGCGTCCAACCGCGCCGCGCCATCAATGCAGTTAATGGTCTAAGGGAGATAATCTTGTTATGATGTAACGTCCCTTGTATTGTGCTGATCGCATGGAGTTAGTGAGTAGGATTTAACGCCGCTTTAAACATTATTCCAATTGTATCGCGGCGTGTGTGGGAGGAAAGCCCAAAGTGAGGTCTCAGACGTTTACCACTTCGGTGAAACCCACGAGCACGGGTATGGTGCAGACAAACCTAGAAACATAATCGGGGCGAACCGGGTTCCGAACCCACAATCGTTGGTTTCGAGCGTGCCCAAGGGACGCAACTCTGCACAGCGAATCGCGGCGCCTTAGACGACTGGGTCCCCTGTGACCCGCTGACCGAATGGAATTCTTGGTGGGAGAGTGCCCGGCGCAGTGGAGACTTGGCGGGCCGCATGGCACTCTGGGTAGGAGAGTGTATTTTCGACTTGTTTGCCCTAAAGCGCTTGCGCTCCTCGCCGCACGACAGGCTGCTAGAAGGACTGGGTACAAGTCTAAAGATTAATTTCTTGCCACAGATGCCACTTTGGTAAAGTAGAACATGGTGTGTGAAGTTTGCACGTAGACCCTGCGTGAAGCTTTACAAGGGGCGTAACTTCGTTTGAAATTCTGGTTCCACTGTTATTACGCGCCGCAAGCTTCGCTCTTTCAGCCAGACAGGAGCACAGTCTAAGTGCCAAGCTTAATTACTTCCCTTTGACTACAAACGTTACCCCGTGAATTAAAATCGATTGAATTATCTCCCTTTGACCACGAGACAAACTTTGTAAGGTCGCACACTGAAGAGGTTTTTTTGGTTTGGTTTGTTGTTTAACGCCGCACTCAGCAATACTCCAGCTATATGACGACGGTCTGTAAATAATCGAGTCTGGACCAGACAATACAGTGATTAATATCGTGAGCATCGATCCACGCAATTGGGATCGATGACATGCATCAACCAAGTCAGCGAGACTGACCACCCGATCCCGTTAGTCGCCTTTTACGACAAGCATAGTCACCTTTTACGGCAAGCATGCGTTGCTGAATACCTTCACGGGTCTATATTGAAGAGACTGCATGTCAGATGATATATATTTGTTTTGAATTAAAGGGATTCGAACCAGTGCTTTATGTTTTATGTCTGAAGTAGGTCAATGGTTAGATTTTTTTTGCTTACAATATGACTTTGAGGTGATGGTTTCTGTTTTGTCTATAGGTGCTTTTCTCTGATGGATCCTTTTTTCACAATTGCGCTTAAATTTCTGTTTTCGGGCTCACCTTGCCCTTAATAGTCGACCAGACGTGTGTTTAAATTGTCAATTATTTGGTATAGATAGTCAAAGATTTTAATAGGTTTTCGGCAATGAGGATCCTTTTTCCCCTAGACGATTGGTAAAAACTTGGAGATGTGAAACATAAAGCATAAAAGTAAGAACGCCCTAACCTTAGCGCTAGGAAAGTTTAGTGGAACATATTTCTGAACAAACTGTTCATGTAAAAAAATCGAGCTAAACGAAGATCTGAGGACTTCCTTTGACGTAGATTGACGCTGTTCAAAAGGTACCTCCTCAATAGCGAGGCCTTTTCAATTGGAGATTTCAAGAAATGAAATGACTTTTGTTTGATTGTTTGTTGTTTAACGCCGCACTCAGCAATATTCCAGCTATATGACGGCGGTCTGTAAAGAATCGTGTCTAGGCCAAACAATCCAGTAATTGACATCATGAGCATCGATCCGAGCAATTGGGATCGATGACACGCATCAACCAAGTCAGCGAGGCTGACCACCCGATCTCATTAGTCGCCTTTTACAGCAAGCATGGGTTGCTGAAGACCTATTCCACCCCAGATCTGCATTGGTCTGATGTACTAGTACAACCCACGCAACAGTATGCTTGCCCTTTAACCCGGCCATAACTAGGTCAAATGAAAAGTCAGTCCTTACAGGGAGGATTAGACTAACATCTAGTCTCTGAAATGAACATATCGTACAGAAAAAACAGTTGTTCAGTTATCTTAATAAAAATATAATAAAAAGGGAGCCAAATGATTCTCTTCATTCCTGATACTGCAGTAATCTAGACTTGCTAAACATTATAGACTTGCAAGGGCTGTATTTGATATATATTTGTATCAGGATCTGTAAGACAGACTAAGGGAGGATATATAACTCATATAGACTCCCTTTTTTCATCCCAGGTCATTGTTACGTCAGTCCATCGAAGATCATAAGTGTCAATGTCGAGTGTAGGTCAAAAGTGATGGTTACACGTCAGTTCAGTGTTGGGCAAGTGACTATGTCACGCTTTTGTCCACGATCAGTTCTAATATGTTTGGGCTTCTCAATAAACACCATGCAGTCTAGTGTAAACGTCTAGGAAATCAGATTTCCTTATAGCAGTGCCTCTCATGAGTGAGTGAGTGAGTAAGTATGGTTTTGGTGAGATCAGCTGAATGAAAAGAAGATTGAGTCCTTGACTGTTTGAATCAAGATGGAAGACCTGCGCTGTCGTTGCTGTCATCATGTGACCTTTTCTGCTGATCAGCCATTACTTACATGACACCATATCACAATGAGTGAGTGAGGGAGTATGGTTTTCCGCCGCTTTTAGCAATATTCCAGCAATATCACGGCGGGGGCACCGGAAATGGGCTTCAGGCATTGTACCCATGTCGGGAATCGAACCCGGGTCTTCGGCGTGACGAGCAAACGCTTTAACCACTAAGCTACCCGACCGCCCCAGTGCCTCTCATGACGTCGGGTGATTCTTCAGGTAACTTACTATATTGACCGCAATCGTGGCTATTTATCAACTAGGTTCCGTCTTCGCAATACAATCAACTTGTTGAAACCACATCCACCATTGTTTTGATATTCACATGGTTATTTTGTGAATATAACACGGTTGCCATGACTACCTATTGTTCAATATCGTGAACGAATTGGAACTGTAATTCTGGTGCATTGTTACATACAAGTTATTTTCATGTACAAGACATTAAGGAGTGATTCTTTGACCACTGATAATTATGGAATACTGTAAGGGACATTTTGACCAAATCTCGCGTTCTCGCGATCTCGCATTATCGTGTTTTGGGCATATTTAGCTCGTTTTCAAAGGGCGAGATCGCGAGAATGCGAGATCACGAGAATGTCCCTTACAGTATTCCATAGATAATCTAGTCTTTGGTTTGTCCTATTTTAGACCGATCGATATGGTGACGAGTCCTCTTGCAGGCTACGGAATAGAGCGGGTGGTAACAAGTGCATTGACTGTTTGTATAGGTTCTGATCTGTTTGTATGTTTGTGTCGGTATCCACAATATCTATCACGTTAGTAGTGCCTCATAACCGGTCTGTATAAGTTAACTGGGATGTTATATTGATGGGCGGGTATTTCACATACGCGTATTTAATTGAAAATGTTTGTAGTTGATCATAAAAAAACCATCAAAGATTCTTTAACACGGGCATGTTACAATCAGAAAGGTGTAAATCTTACCATGTATAATATGTACATTGCACTGAGTGGATTTTTTAGCTATGGAAACAAGTAATTTTGAAACGGCATGGCAAGCAGTACTTATCACGGTAAACAAATTCGATTTTTCGCTTCAGAAAAAAACAAAAATCATGGGTTTATCGAATGATGTGAAAAGTTACTTTAACAATCCATATATGTTCTGCGCCGGGACAAAGGCATGCTTGGATTTATTGACGAAACATTCTCAATCGATGACAGGTGAATACTGAACTGAATAATGATCGATTAACTGCGAAAGCTCATGTATGAAACTTACAGAAAAGAATGTTTATACAATCAGCCTCAATCTGTTATTTGGTGACGGCAACGAAATCACACAACTAGTATACAGACCGTCACGTGATGAACACCAGTTCTTCCTGGTGCACGATTTCAGTTTAGTAGTATCTTCAAAGTTCGCAAGGACGACGTGTTATTGTGGATGCCAAAGAATTTGACCCCTGAAAGTCAAACTAGATTTATTTTTGTCTACCGTTCTCTAACTTTCTTCGTTCGAATAAGCTTTCGTCGAATTTCAAGGACAGATGTTTTAACCAGTTTCAGTAATTCCACAAACGTCAAGTCATCTGAAACCGAGGCCATGGTCCGTGTTTTGACGTTGATGATGATGATGATGATGATGTTCCTGAAGCAGACTAGAGGTACATGTTCACATTCATTTATAGACAAACGACTTGACAATAGACAAAATATTTTTTGGTTATTATCATTGGTGATTTATCTGGCGATATCTTTCTATTTCGTATAAGTACTGTACACAAGAGAAGTTAAAGAACCCCCGGTTTGCTCATACGATTAGTTAATGTCATCGCTGGTGGGTCAAACACACTACCTTTCAATAAATACTTACTTTTTATTCAGGGCAGCGGCCTAGAAAACAATCGAGCAGGCCAGACAATCCGATGATTTTGAAAGAACGTGGTCTGAAAAGGGACTTTTGTCCCACTGGAAACGTAAAAGGTTTAAGATTCGTAATATTCTGAACGACTGGCACTGACTGATCTAGAAATAATTACAGTATTTCTGATTTAACAAAATGCAATTGTGAAAAGCCTCTATGTAAATATGTTTTGAATAAACCGTTTTAAAATACGTTTTGTGATATTTTCAGCCAGTGGATCTATGATGCCGATAGTCAGTTCGGATATTTCAGGTAGGTGGACTAACTCTTTTGCAGGTGAGGCGAGGGAAGGTGAGGTAGAGTGAGGTGAGGGAAGATGAGGCGGGGCAGGGTGAGGTGAGATGCGGTGGGATTTAGGGGAAACAAGGTTTGAGCAAATTGGCAGTCCGAGAAACTTACTGTGTACATCAATTTAGCAGTTAGTATTTACCGATATTACACAGAGACCAGGTTTCGCCAAGGTGATAATTCCAACATTTAGAACTGGACACCATTGTGCATAGTTAATTTCCTTGCCTACATTATACGGCAGCATCATTGTTGTTTTGCAGGTAATGAAATGAAAGCCCTATTTTGGATGCTCGCTCAAAAACCGGTAGCTAAATTTCATGCCTACGGTATATTCAACGTCTATGTAGTTATCATGTGGTTTGTTGAACGTCAAAAACACTTAACATTAAACCTGAAACAGAGTGAGTGTGAGTGAGTTTGGTTTAACGCCGCTTTTAACTGTATTCTAGTTATATCGCGGCGTGTCAGCTTAATGTGGGAGGAAAGCCCGAAGTGATGCATGTCTCAGACGTTTACCACTTCGGTGAAACCCACGAGCACGGGTATGGTGCTGACAAACCTAGAAACATAATCGGGGCGAACCGGGATTCGAACCCACAATGATACTGGCGTGCCCAAGGGACGCAGCTCTGCACAGCGAATCGCGGCGCCTTAGACTAATGGGCCACCCGTGCCCCCAGACAAACAGAAGTAGGTAGACCATAAACCAAGGAACGTACCGAACGATCCTCTGATTTGGTAACATATGACCTACGATTTTAAGGTTTAGGCGGTTGATAACACAATTTGATAATGAGCAACATTTAGGCGACGGGAAGCATATTTTGTGTCAGAGATAGACACGTGTACGAGTGAAACTTGTGATCCAGCTCCAATATGGATTCCTCCCAGTGGTGACCGAGATAACCTGAGGTGAACCGAGTGCAAACTCGCCACCCTTCCTTGCTGTGCTGCGCCAATTCTCATCAATCGATTCCAACATGAGATGGCATTCGCCAAATATCGGGGTCATGTGAAGTAAATATAAAGCAAACGAAACCCACCGCCTTTCACATCTAGACGCAAACATAAACCACTTTACCAATTTTGCGCATGAGCGGCCGTTAAATTCAAAAGTTGATAGAAAATACTTACCAGAATCAAAGTTGACCTGAAGTTTAAGGAGACAAAATATGTAACGGGATAACCAAATGCATTGAAAAAATTGTTAATTCTTGAATTAACTATTCGGTAATTTTTCAATGGAAATTATCCCTATCCTGCAATTTGATTGGCTGAAAATAAATGACATTATTAAATTGGCTGAGAAGTAACGACAGCAGTACTTTTCCTTCATTCTCAAATCGACAATCGGCAACATCACCACTGTGCATATGGCCATGACCAGACTTTAACATGACATAAAAACAGGTGTCGTCCTTAAAGGCCGGTCTCCCATCTGGCCTCATCTTCCCGAGGCAAGAGAGTTAACTGACTGAAGTCCAGTTTCCACCCTTGCTGAACTAGGCTGGAATTCCCTGGCTCGATCGTAGCGCCACCAGTGGTCATTACAAGTTATGTCCCTTCTTAGCCTCTCCTATTGACCAATCAGATTCCATCACCTGCTTTTGTTTCAAATACAATGGCGGCGCCCAGTGAAGACGATCTGATCGATAATAAAAATGTATATTGTGATAAAACGGGTATTACATCGCGAGGTGCATCAAATCACGCGAGCACCTTGATTAAAAACATGAAAAGGTTTGGAAAAAGTCTCTTGACAAGTTGGTGGTGCACAGGCTTTGCAAGTCCTGCAATCGACCGAAATCTGCCTGACAGTTTACGAACCGGAATTCGATTTCGTTTCGCGATTTTGATTTGACTATACATAGTCCAGCCAAAATTTAAGTCCATAATACCAGCCTAATTCGGCAAGGGTAGAAACTGCACTTTTATTGTCGGTTTACTCTCTTGCCTCGGGAAGATGATCTTGCCTCTGCCTTTTGAGAGAATTGGGTGAAGCTCATGAGTGTGAATACAGTCATTTATTACCCTGTATTATGTGTTATTGTCCAATATAAGATATCTACGCGATAAATCGCAAAGATCAATGAAGACGGAAGCGTGGTTTATTTCACGATAAAACATTGTTCTATCATGACGTCATTTCTGGAGATTCAAACAAGCGCTCGCAACTTGATGACGTTGTAAATTGAACGGCGTTATTTTTGAGAGGGAAGTGTCTAATGAGTAGTTCCGCATAAATGTAGCTGGGCAACGCAGATAAACGCAGTGGCCGGACAACCGCGTCCAAAAGCAGAAGAGCCATGACAATCGGTATTGGGAGAAATGGTACAGATAATCGACGCGAATCTAGTGAGAATATCCGTGTAAAACATAATACCTAACCCCCTGTTGATAACATGGAAATGTCGGACATTGACGGTGTCAGACTCTATTCAGGTAGTCATCATTATTTTAAAAGCTCGTACATTTTACTAACGACCTTAAGAGGCTGTTCATGGTATTGATATCTCATATAAGTAATAGACACATGGTCGTTGTTTATCGTACAACAATTAAATTTTCGTTGTGTTCATTGAATTTCCTGCATTCTGATGAGCTGAATTGGTCACGTGTTATTGCATTCATTTCCCAAAGAATCACTCTCCTACCCAGAGTTCCTTACGACCAGCATAGTACCTTTGTCACTGGCTAGTGCCATGTGACGATTCCACACTCCGGCGCCGTGGTGACTCAGCATAACACCACTGCCACAGGCTAATTTGCATATCACGTGACCGGACTTTTCTCTTGTTTGTAAACAAACGCGCTTTTTCAGAAATCAGTATAGAACGGACTAATGCAAGTATTTGGGGGCGCTTTACATCTTGTTTTGCATAACTATATAGATATGCTACTACAACTGCGACAGTGAGTTGCATGACAATATATATTTATGCATCAAAGTGACCGTGTCGCTAGCTCTCCGTTGGGCTTCGATGACAGCACGTGGAGCCGTACAACCAATGTAAACATAGGATAACTACGCAAATAGCGCAACCTCACTTTGGCCAAACCTCGGATGACGTTTGGAACAACATCCCCCAATTTGTTTTCAGTCATCTGGTGTCTTCAACGAGCTTGTACTTATTCAAGTCCAAAACCATGCTTTCTTCAAACGAAAGTGCAACTTTAAGCCCACTGACATGTTTGTTGAGTATTTTTCCCCAACTTACTTGGCGTTGACACACAATCAAGACATCAGATTCTTCAAATATGACATGACGTTACTAACGTTAATACCACTAAGGACAAATAATCGGTAATTCCTCGTATTTTGTAAGCTATTCTCTAATGAAACGTTTCACAAATGGGTATTGTGTTCATCTATTTCAGCTGAAGTACCCGATGCCGTGGGGAATAGCAACGCGGCCCCACGTAAGTGCAAACATTATTTATTACAAATACTAACGGAAAAATGTAAATGCAAACATTATTTTTTACAAATACTAACGGAAAAATGTAAATGTGCTTCGTATTAAGTTCAATAAAATTAATTCATTCTTTAAATATATAATGCATCTTTCAATGCAGATTCATGAAGACATTTCCTCGACTTAAAGGTCGTGATTTACAATTTGCATGCGCATATTCATGCACAGCTTACAATTTGGATGCTTGCGTGTTTGTTGGGCGCATGATACTCACACACGTGTTTTTTTTAATGTCAACAACACACAATGATTGTTTAGCTGTCAGGTGCTCATAACTAAGAGCATTTTTGTTTAATCGTCAAAGCCGCTTACCCAATGCCACGGCTTGCTGAAAACAAACGCCTACACGCCATGGGTTTGCTGCAAAAAACACAAATGGCTCGAAACGAAGTGGCCCGACATTTTAATGTTCATGGAAACACAATCTCATTTCCTTGGAGACGTTAGCTACAGCAGGGCAACACGACTTGCCACGGCATATCATTGCTGTACTGTATGGCCGGCTGTTTCTCCAGATAAATAATGTTTGGGATGAGATAGAACGACGCCTCGACAGGACCAGAAACAGGCGGTAGCGCACCCTCACTTTGGCCAAACCTCGGATGACGTTTGGAACAACATCCCCCAATTTGTTTTCAGTCATCTGGTGTCTTCAAAGAGCTTGTACTTATTCAAAACCAAAACACAGCTCTCGTCAAACGAAAGTTCATCTTTAAGCCCACTAACATGATTGTTGAGTATTTCCCCCCTACTTCCTTGGCGTTGACACACAATTAAGACGTCAGATTCTTCAAATATGACATGACGTTACTAACGTTAGTACCACTAAGGACAAATAATCGGTAATACCTCGTATTTGTAAGCTACTCTCTAATGGATCGTTTCAAAAATGGGTATTGTGTTCATCTATTTCAGCTGAAGTACCCGATGAGATTGGGAATAGCAACGCGGCCCCACGTAAGTGCAAACATTATTTATTACATATACTAGCGGAAAAATGTAAATGTGCTTCATATTAAGTTCAATAAAATTATTTCATTCTTTAAATAAATAATGCATCTTTCAATGCAGATTCATGAAGACATCTCCTCGACTTTAAGGTCGTGATTTACAATTTGCATGCGCATATTCATGCACAGGTACATTTTGGATGCTTGCATGTTTGTACGGCGAATGCTACTCACACAAGTTTGTTTTTTAATAAAAACAACACAATGATTGTTTAGCTGTCAGGTGCTCATAACTAAGAGCATTTTTGTTTAATCGTCAAAGCCGCTTACCCAATGCCACGGTTTGCTGAAAACAAACGTCTACACGCCATTGGTTTGCTGCAAAAAACACAAATGGCGCGAACGAAGTGGCCCGACATTTTAATGTTCATGGAAACATAATCTAATCTCTTTGGAGACGTTAGCTACATCAGGACAACACGACTTGCCACGGACCGGTCGTCCAGGTGTGACGTCACGTCAACAAGGTAACCATATTCGGTTGGTGCATCTACAGAATCGACACTGAACTGGTGACGTAACGTCACGTTGCAGCAGGATTGTGTACGTGTTGTAACTGACGTGTTTAGGCAGCATATCATTGCTGTACTGTATGGCCGGCTGTTTCTCCAGATAAATAATGTTTGGGATGAGAAAGATCGACGCCTCGACAGGACCAGAAACAGGCGGTAGCGCAGCCTCACTTTGGCCAAACCTCGGATGACGTTTGGAACAACATCCCCCAATTTGTTTTCAGTCATCTGGTGTCTTCAACGAGCTTGTACTTATTCAAGTCCAAAACCATGCTTTCTTCAAACGAAAGTGCAACTTTAAGCCCACTGACATGTTTGTTGAGTATTTTTCCCCTACTTCCTTGGCGTTGACAAACAATTAAGACGTCAGATTATTCAAATATGACATGACGTTACTAATTTAATACCACTAAGGACAAATAATCGGTAATTCCTCGTATTTTGTAAGCAATTCTCTAATGGATCGTTTCACAAATGGGTATTGTGTTCATCTATTTCAGCTGAAGTATCCGATGAGGTGAGGCATAGCAACGCGGCCCCACGTAAGTGCAAGCATTATTTATTACATATACTAACGGAAAAATGTAAATGTGCTTCATATTAAGTTCAATAAATTTAATTCATTCTTTAAATAAATAATGCATCTTTCAATGCAGATTCATGAAGACATTTCCTCGACTTTAAGGTCGTGATTTACAATTTGCATGCGCATATTCATGCGCAGGTACAATTTGGATGCTTGCATGTTTGTACGGCGAATGCTACTCACACAAGTGTTGTTTTTTAATAAAAACAACACAATGATTGTTTAGCTGTCAGGTGCTCATAACTAAGAGCATTTTTGTTCAATCGTCAAAGCCGCTTACCCAATGCCACGGTTTGCTGAAAACAAACGCCTACACGCCATGGGTTTGCTGCAAAAAACACAAATGGCGCGAAACGAAGTTGCAGGTCAAGAGTTCATGCACCTCAGAACAAGCTGGGTTTCAGATCGAAAATGATATATGTATTTTTTCTTAAGCTCAGATCAGATATGACTCACCAACATTTTGTGTTCATCTTTCAAGCCTACAGACAATTGAAACAATATAAACATACTCGTAGGCTTCGGGAGACTGTAAGCAGGCAGGTCAAGGTGGCTTCGTTCGTCCTAAAACCCGTCCAAGGTCACGGCACACAAAAAGCCTAATCCGACTAAGAAGTATTTTGGTAATGACAAATATAACCCACTCGACACTCGGAATTAGGAGTACATGAATTTGTCTCTACTCGTTATCAAAGCTGATTTCACTCGTTATTAACGCTTATTTCACTCGTGATTAACGTTTATTTCCCTCGTTATTCACGTTAATCGCACTCGGGACAGATAATCGGTAGTTCCTTCCAAAGCTATTCTCTAATGAATCGTTTCACAAATAGGTATTGTATTCATCTATTTCAGCACCCGATGAGGTGAGGCATAGCAACACGGCCCCAAGTAAGTGCAAGCATTATTTATTACATATACTAACGGAAAAATGTAATGTGCTTCATATTAAGTTCAATAAATTTAATTCATTCTTTAAATAAATAATGCATCTTTCAATGCAGATTCATGAAGACATCTCCTCGACTTTAAGGTCGTGATTTACAATCTGCATGCGCATATTCATGCACAGCGAACAATTTGGATGCTTACATGTTTGTTGGGCGCATCATACTCACACACGTGGTTTTTTCAATGTAAACAAAACACAAAGATTGTTTAGCTGTCAGGTGCTAATAACTAAGAGCATTTTTGTTTAATCGTCAAAGCCACTTATCCAATGCCACGGGTTTCTGAAAACAAACGCCTACACGCCATGGGTTTGCTGCAAAAACACAAATGGCTCGAAACGAAGTGTCCCGACATTTTAATGTTCATGGAAACACAATCTCATCTCTTTGGTGACGTTAGCTACCACACTCCGACGCAGTGGTGACTCAGCATAATGTTTGGAATGAGAAAACGACGCCTCGACAGGACCAGAAACAGGCGGTAGCGCAACCTCACTTGGGCCAATCTTTTGAGGACGTTTGGAACAACATCCCCCAAATTGTTTTCAATCATCTGGTGTCTTCAAAGAGCTTGTACTTATTCAAAACCAAAACCCAGCTTTCTTCAAACGAAAGTTCATCTTTGAGCCCACTGACATGATTGTTGAGTAATTTTCCCCAACTTCCTTGGCGTTGACAAACAATTAAGACGTCAGATTCTTCAAATATGACATGAAGTTACTTACGGTAATACCACTTAGGACAAATAATCGGTAATTCCTCGTATTTCGTAAGCTAATCGTTTCAGATATAGGTATTGTGATAAATATTTCAGTTCCTTGAGCTTATGCTAAAGTGAGCTTCCTTGAGCTTATGCTAAAGTGGGGCGGTCGGGCAGGGTTAAATGAGAGGTTAAATCGTTCGCTCGTTACGCCGAAGGCCCGGGTACATGGGTACAATATGCGAAGCAAATTTCAGGTGTCCTCCGCAGTGAAACCATACTCAAGTATTGGAATTATCGCTAACGCTACGATCGCTAACGGATATATATCGTTTGTAACTTATAAGTGAATAATGTGTGTATATATATATACGTGAGTGATTGAATGAGTGAGTTCGGTTTAACGCCGCTTTGAAAAGTATTCCAGTCATATCACGGCGTGTCAGCTCAATGTGGAAGGAAAGCCTGAAGTGATGCAGGTCTCAGACGTTTACCTCTTTGGTGAAACCCACGAGCACCAAGGAACATAATTAGGACGACCTGGGATTCGAACTCACGACCAAAGACCTTGTGTCTATTTACGTATCAACACACGTCATTTACTTGTGAGATCCAGGATGTGAAGAGATGCTTCAGTCGTATTGTTGTAACCCTCCTCGGCTTCTGTTGTTGCTGCTGCTGTGAGCCCGTTTATAACATCATTATTTCAGCCACAACTACACCAAGTAAGCCGACTTCAACTTCTACATCAGTTTCAACGTCTACAACGACAAGTGAAGCGACCACTTCAACGACTACAACAACTGAGATTACCACAGCATCGTCTACAACGACAAGTGAACCGACTACTTCAACGTCTACAAGAGCTGAGCTGACCACAGCAACGTCTCCAACGACAAGTGAACCGACCACTTCAACGCCTACACCAACTGAGCTGACCACAGCAACGTCTCCAACGACAAGTGAACCGACCACTTCAGCGTCTACAACAACTGTGCTGACCACATCAACGTCTCAAACGACAAATGAACCAACCACTTCAACGCCTACAACTGAGCTGACCACAGCAACGTCTCCAACGACCAGTGAACCAACTACTTCAACGCCTACACCAACTGAGCTGACCACAGCAACGTCTACAACGACAAGTGAACCGACCACTTCAGCGTCTACAACAACTGTGCTGACCACAACAACGTCTCCAACGACAAATGAACCGACCACTTCAACGCCTACAACAACTGAGCTGACCACAGCAACGTCTCCAAAGACAAGTGAACCGACCACTTCAACGCCTACACCAACTGAGCTGACCACAGCAACGTCTCCAACGACAAGTGAACCGACCACTTCAGCGTCTACAACAACTGTGCTGACCACATCAACGTCTCAAACGACAAATGAACCGACCACTTCAACGCCTACAACTGAGCTGACCACAGCAACGTCTCCAACGACAAGTGAACCAACTACTTCAACGCCTACACCAACTGAGCTGAGCACAGCAACGTCTACAACGACAAGTGAACCGACCACTTCAGCTTCTACAACAACTGAGCTGACCACAGCAACGTCTCAAGCGACAAGTGAACCGACGACTTCAACGACTACAACAAGCGAGCTGACTACATCAACGTCTACATCGACATCAATGTTTACAACGACAAGTGCCCCGACTTCAATTTCGACATCGGCTACGACATCCACAACGACAAGTGCACCGACCACTTCAACGTCCACAATGAGTGAACTGACTACTTCAACGTCTACAAGTGAGCCCACTTCTTCAACCTCAACTTCTACATCAACGTCTACAACAACTCAGCCGTCAAGCTCAACATCATCCTCAACCATAGCAACAACAGCTACAACAGCGAACTCCAATCTGTCGCCTTACCAGCAAGCAAGGATTGATTTCTTAGTTTCCTGTCGGAACGTCAGTTCCGGTTTCCGCCAGCAGATGGACAGTGTGACCACATTCACGCAGATCTACACACACCAGCTGTCTAGTAGACCAAGTTGTTCTGCCCTGTGTGAAATGATGTCTGGGTGCAGCCTGTTCACATACCTGTCGGGCAGCTGTTCTATATATGAAGCGAACCCATCAGGAAGTATTATATCTGGAGAGGTTTGGGTGAAATGAGTTTCGTACAACAGCACATACGTGAGTTGCTATCTTCTCACGGGGCACGGGGCACGGAGCACAGGGCACGGGGCACAGGCCGAGGTGTCTAAATCGTGACAATGCTATGCAGTGTTGCCTCCCTTAGTCGTGCCAGGATCCGACGATCGTGGTAAAAATGGAGAACCGTCCTGATTATGAGTGTTTGTGTGTTTCGCCATCATTGCATCATATTTAGCTTTTCTCCCACATCAAGTCGACACTCCGTGATATAACTGAAATACTGTCAAAAAGCGACGTTAGACCAAACTCTCACTCACTTGTGAATAAAAAAAAATAATTGCATAGTTGGATTCCTTATATCTAACATCACACGCGCATATCATTTACGCACACATACACAGAAAGAGAGAGAGAGAGAGAGAGGGGGGGGGGGGGGGGGGGGGGGGAGAGGCACGCAGACACACACAGTTACAGCCACACAGAGACCTTCAGACACATACAGAGAGAGAGAGAGAGCGAGGGAGAGGCACGCAGACACACAGAGACCCACAAACACATACAGAGAGAGACACAAAGAGACACATAAAGGGTTGGTTTGGTTGGTTTGTTGTTTTACGCCGCACTCAGCAATATTCCAGCTATATGACGGCGGTCTGTAAATAATCGAGTCTGGACCAGACAATCCAGTGATTAATATCGTCAGCATCGATCCACGCAATTGGGATCGATGACATGCATCAACCAAGTCAGCGAGCCTGACCACCCAATCCCGTTAGTCGCCTTTTACGACAAGCATAGTCGCCTTTTACGGCAAGCATGGGTTGCTGAAGACCTATTCTACCCCGGATCTTCACGGGTCACACACACAGGGAGACAGATACAGACACATACCGAGAGAGACCCACACAGACACATACAAACAGAGAGACACACAAAGGGAGACAGATACAGACACATACACACACAGAGAGACACACACAGATACAGACACACGCAGAGAGACACACAAAGGGATACAGACACATACACACAGAGAGAGACCCACACATATACAGACACACAGAGAGACACACAAAAGGATACAGACACATACACACAGAGAGAGACCCACACATATACAGACACACAGAGAGACACACAAAGGGAGACAGATACAGACACACCAATTAACCCATACACAGAGAGACCAACAGACACAAACACATACACAGGAGAGAGAGAAAGCGACACAGAGAGGGACACAGAGACACCCACAAACTCTTACACAAAGACACGCACACTGCGACCCACACATAGACACACTTCCCCCAAACAGCGCAAGATACACGCATACATCAAAGGAATGCACACAAACTTACACACATCTTTTGTTATTCTTAAGTGCTTTTCTCGAAGCCATTAACGAATGTTTATGTTCCCTTTGACGTAACATGCCATTTTAATTCGGAATCAGGGCTCCTTGTAACCGATAACTGGTTGATTCGTGATGGCGCAATGCTAGAAATAGTGACACAACATTCACAAGAAAAGGGTTCGTTCATTAAACAACACAATATAGATTATTAAGAGTTCTTTGTTGTAAAATATCCAAGAAACCAAGGAGACTTAACTGCATTTAGCTGTACAAATGTGTTGTGTGGACTCATTGTTAATATTGGTCCTCGTTTGTGATTAATGAGTATTTTATATCGGAGCAATGATATATAGTCCTCAATGATATGAACACCCCCACCACCTACCCAACACCTCCACACCATATTCGCCGTGCAGAGTTGCGTCCCTTAGGCGTGACAGACACCTATGATCAGGATTTCGAATCCTGGCTAACCTGATTATGTGTCTTGGTTTTTCAGCACCGTGCCCATGATCGTAGATTTTAACAAAGAGTAAACGACAAAGGCCTGCATCACTTGCTTTCCTCTCGCATAAAGCTGACGCGACGTGATTACCTGAAATACCGTTTCAAGCGGCGTCAAATTCACCCATGCTTGCCATAAGAGACGACTCTACTTGTCGTAAGAGGCGACTAACGGGATCGGGTGGTCAGGCTCGCTGACTTGGTTGATGCATGTCATCGTATCCTAATTGCGTGGATCGATGCTCATGATATCAATCACTGTATTGTCTTGTCCAGACTCGATTATTTACAGACCGCCGTCAATACTGGAATACTGCTTAATGCGGCGTTACACAACAAACCAACACTCACTACAATGACTAAAAACACCATTCTTCTATACCCATCTTACATTCAGTAGTTTTTAAAAATCATATGCACCCGTACCATCATTCTAACACAACGTACCCGTGAAGATTCGGGTTAGAATAGGTCTTCAGCAACCCATGCTAGCCATAAGAGACGACTCTGCTTGTCGTAAGAGGCGACTAACGGGATCGGGTGGTCAGGCTCGCTGACTTGGTTGATGCATGTCATCGTATCTAAATTGCGTGGATCGATGCTCATGATGCCAATCACTGTATTGTCTTTTCAAGACTATTTACACAGCGCCGTCATATATCTGGACTATTGGTGAGTGCGGCGTTAAACAACAAACAGCAACAACAACAACAACATCTAACACAACGACGACACAAAGACAAAGTCGAGTCGAGAATAACACTAACACTTGAGGTTCGAGTTTCAGGAACTGGCATTCTTTGTGATGGCGTGCTCTGGTAGCACTATTGGAAAAAATCCTCCTAATGTCTTACTTGTTCAATGCAAATGCCAAAAAACGAATACTGAAGTTCTTTTCGAAAATCTTCTGTAAGTATTTGTCCTTTGTCGCACAATTCGTGTTGAATAAGATCAACTGGATGGAGATATGAAGTGCAAATGCAAATATCGAAAACAATGGCTCCAATCGACCGTGTCACTCGCCTCGTGTATTGTTACGAAATATTTTCAATACATTGCTTGATTTACCATTTTCTTTAATTTAGAAATAGAAAAAAAACTGAAATGATTTCCGGTACATATCGATTTTGTTACTCTCGAAAGTGATTGATTGTGTTGCCGTTATAATCAATACATGCTTATTGCAATGTTTCAAAGAATGATAAATGTTGATTATAATCCTTAACTTTCAACATGAATCTGAAAAATAACATCATGGGGGTAATTTTTTTAATCATTGTGTGTGTTTATCGCAATTTTCCATCAAAACGTTGGTTCACTTGTGATCTCAGTTTTCTTACTTTCTTACAGAGAATCTACACAAAAGATTATTAATTTAAGAGTATACAAGACATCGTCTTGCACCCCATAGTTGTGTCATAATCTGGAGAACAGCCAAAGTGTTCAATACCACCAATAACGTAATCCAGAGACCATATACCGGTATATCTGTATATGGTCTCTGCGCAATCTGACAGCAAATGTTCTCCTACCCGTTCTCTCTCTCTCGCAGCGTACATCAATCTATTTTCACTTTTAACCCATTTTTTATATTTGGGTATTTTCCGCAAAACAACTATTCATTTTGGTCATATTTTAGAACAAGTTATTCATTTAACACACGCACGCACGCACGCACGCACGCACGCACGCACGCACGCACGCACGCACGCACGCACGCACGCACGCACGCACGCACGCACGCACGCACACACACACACACACACACACACACACATGGATATTCCTTAATGGAGGTATAAACGAACTAAAAACCCGATGTTGCACGCTCCATAAACACAAACATGTTACATGTAACCTGTAACATGTAACAGCGGTGGGTAGACGTGTGGTTAATCACGCAAGTAAAACTTTGAAGCCATTTTTGTATGTTCCTTGTCCCTACTCACTCATTCATGATAGGCACAGAAAATAACATGGACATCGAATGAATGACTTCAAAAAAGTTTACAAGCTTTCCATGATTGTTTTTCTTTCATTTGTTTCTTGGAAAGACATTAGTGTTCAGCCAAGCCACATTAACAGAACATGCAATGACTGGCAGTCAGAAGTCGATAAATCACGTCGTCGGTATTTTTAATTCGCATTGTTGGAACACTGTCACGACACTATCTTACTTGCCCGCCATCCCCTTGAAGATCCGGGGTAGAATAGGTCTTCAGCAACCCATGCTCGCCGTAAAAGCCGACTATGGTTGTCGTAAGAGGCGACTAACGGGATCGGGTGGTCAGGCTGAGTTGGTTAATGCATGTCATCGATCCCAAATGCTTGGATCGATGCTCAAGATGTCAATCACTGGATTGTCTGGTCCAGACTCGATTATTTACAGACCGCTTTCATATAGCTGGAATATTCCTGAGTGCGGCGTTAAACAACAAACAAACAAAAGTTGCTAATGGTGTTAAGGAGGTCTAGTCGTTATATTGATAATAAATAGTATTACAATGTTATAATTGATGTAATCTTCGGGTTGAAGAACTGTTTTGTGTTTGTGTGTTTGCGAGGAGGTTTTTCAATACTGTAGTGTGGCAGAGTAGGCCATGGCAATGTAATATTGATATTTCGCTTCATGTCTTGTCATTTCTTTGTCTGTGGTCGTTGATGAGTCAGTATATACAACGGGGTGAAATGGGTTCAACGCATCCTGGATTATGGAATGTATTAAATTTCCATTTTTTTGTCAATACCCTTGACCCATTGACGCCACGGTTATGTTTCGAATGACACGACGCTGACATAAGCCGTCTAATTAAATTACACTGTTCTTTCGTGATGGAAATAATCGCCGATATCACCAGTACACTGTAAAATGTATCTAGATCCTAATCACAAACCCAAACACGTTCATTTTCCTATAATTTTGATTTTTGTAAGATTGTGTTTAACAGCTAATCATATTTAGGGTCTAAATGTGGGAAAGACCCGTCCAATACCCTTGATACCTTGATACGGCTACCTTCCTTGTGGGTACATTTAAAAAGGGGCGTTTCTATGGATGATTTAGCATTTAATGGGGATAAAGAAGAATGGAGAGGGGAGGACTGAAAAGGGTTAAAGGTCTATCGCACTAGGCATATATACTTTCATTGTCAACTTCCGTTTTCTGTATGAGAGAAATATCACTTCTTACACCTCGGCGGTATATGAACATGCCACGTATTGACTCGTAGTCCTTCATGCTATCACCTGTGCTGAGGAGACTGTCAATGTCAGGTGTCCTAGTCACCAGTACCCTACCTTGGTGTATTTTAACATTTTCATGTTAATATTGTACCAAGGTCGTTGCAAGTCATGGTGGTATTTGTCTTATGCAAGTTCCTTGGATTCTGATTTGCACATCTAATTTATCAATATTCGACTTATTGCCTAATGATATGCGCTTGATTGAAACATGTTTAAATTCTTAATCCGGCGAGATTGGTATTGGGATCGTATCATTTGTTATATTTTTCATGACACCCACCCCCTATGATAAATGACCAGTCCCTATCTAATGTTCAAATTCATTGCAAAATTATTTGAAAAAATTAAACTGTGTCATGTTTTCAGCCCCCACCCCCAATATAGTTGTGGTACATTTTGCCGACACCCCTCTTTCGCTGTGTCATTTATTTCATGACCCCCTAAATCTCACCAACGTCTCCACCCACCACCCTCCCCGGCCCGCCACCATCATATTGAATGACCGTTTCCTTTAAGAGAATATGGATATAATCCTGTAGATAATCGAGGATTGATTCAACATTCAACAGTTAAGACCAATCGTAAACATTTACCCGTTTAGTGTACTCCACGAGAACGACATCGTGAGGACAGACCTAGAATCATAAAAGGGGCGCATAAGGGATTCGAACACATATAAAGGATCCTAACATACCCAAGGGACGCAACTTTACAGAGATTTGGTCGAGTCGAGGCGAAACATTTGGACGATCATCTGATTTGCACTTATCCAGAAAACAAATGTAACCAGGTATATCCGAATGCAGAATACACACACACACACACACACACACACACACACACACACACACACACACACACACACACACACACACACACACACACACACACACACACACACACACACACACACACACACACACACACACACACACACACACACACACACACACACACACACACACACACACATATCCGAGACCCAGATGCTATTACATGCAAACTTATCCAGTCCAAATTTAGATAATCAGGTGTTTCATAATATCTTTTTAAGTGATAACGTGTTCTAATGTTATCAACAAGGCGACTTTTGTACCACCATTAGTATGCCATGCGATGCAACATGGACAAAAGGACATTTGATTTTTACGAAAGGCACTTGCGTGCGTTTGTAACATAACGTGGTAAGACACAGTTATATTCCCAGAATGCACTTTCCAAGTATATATCCATAGTATACATCGAAACAACAAAGTACATGCATGCACTACAACGTATACAACAAGGTATACAACAATGTATCAAACAACGTAAAGACTATGTTATGAATAGATAAGAATGTCCAATAATAATATATAATATCGAGTGAATTTTATTCTATAGAGAGCACATCAAAGTTGATTTCAAACGAGTATACACATTTTGGCTGTGGTGGCTGGAGAGGGTGGACGGTCGCATACCTGTTAGTTTCTGACTAACATACTGACTCCGAGCCGACTAGTCCCTGGTTTATCCCTGAATGCCGAGCGACAGGCGGCGTACGACCTTTACGTCGTGTCGTATGACGCGGCCGGGGTTCGAACCACCAAGCAACCACCCTCCGGGTAGATGCTCTATCTGCAAGATCATGGAGCGCTTACTGTTAGTTTCACCGGGGTCTTTCCATTGTGGCGTATGCAGTCCATGTTTTCCCAAGTTCCTTTGAGTACAACTCGATGGCTTCCCACGTTCGTTTTGTCTTGTTCTGAAGAACAATCTTTGTGGAATGTCAAGAATTTCAAAAGAGTTTACTCCTCATTTCGAAATACTGCGATTACATTTTAAACATTTTGTTTGGGAATCTGGCACCAATTGCATATCTTTAACGATAAGGTTTTCGATTAGGGAGTCTCAAAGTAGATCCTTTAACTTTTCGCTATCGAAAAATGATAAGTCACCTTGATTACCGAAAACATAACGATGGTAAGGACGTTGTGAGCCGTGCAGGTGCATGTGACGGCGATGGTGTATGCAGGCCGGGTGGGAATATGGAACCAACTGCTGACAATCTCTTAAATGGGATTCTTTAGATAGAAGAACGCTATATAAGACCGTGCGGTTTGGTTTGGAATAGTTTGCACAGCGATTCAACAATGGTAAGTACAGGCGGCAAAACATTGTATACTCCTATGGGATTCGAGCCCCGATCATCGTTAAGTGAACGCTTAAATTACTCGGTTACCAGAAGGCAAATTAAAGTGAGTAGGTTTCCTGTCACTTCGAACAGTATTGCAGTTATAGCATGTTAGTCGGAGGAACGGTGAGGTGATGTAAGCTGCAATGGGGTTTAACGTCGGTTCAAGATTATTGCACTTACATAGCGACGTACGTGTGTGTGTGTGTGTGTGTGTGCGTGTGCGTGTGCGTGTGCGTGTGCGTGTGCGTGTGCGTGTGTGTGTGTGTGTGTGTGTGTGTGTGTGTGTGTGCTTGTACTGGTCCGGTTGTCCGACTTTAAAGCGCTAGCCCGCTGAGATACCATGCCGCACTTAATGCCAAGCGCCAGGCGGGGTAACAACAAACAAGTGTCATCTTTTAAGGATAGAACCCGCTCTCCGGTTGAACGCTCTATCACTAGACCACGGGGGCGGTCGTGGGAGGAACGACCAAAGTGATGTAAGTCATTTGAAATCCCAAAGTGGCGCAGGCTGTACAAGTTTACTGCGATCATACGTACCAGTCACAACCAAAATGTCCACAAAAGCTACATGTACCAAAACATAAAACATTGTAATGACTAATTGTTTATTTGAAAAGCAATGTTAATTACTCATATGCTTGGCTGATGGTCCACTGGTTGTTCTTGTAGGATAAAAAATACGACAAACTCATTAAAATCATATCTTTTATTCCATCTTGTCTGCATCAAGATCTGAGGATGCTTCCAAAGGGAGTCAGTGTACTCTTTAATCGGCCCTTGTAAATTCTCAAGCCTTAATCGAGGCTTGTAAATTCTCGGTACGTGTGAGCGAAGCATTCAAAGAAGCTTATCCTATTTCTGTTTCTCGGAAAAAGAACCAAATGAAATGTCGAAAGTAGAAAGTATAGCGACGCCGTTGTAGTGTTCTGGATAGTTCATACATCCTGTCGTTTCTGCGCGCCATTGCATCTACACCCAAATTCAAAGGAATAGTTGTGTTCTGTGTGGGTTTTCATTTTTAAATGTCCAGATCGACATGGTATCAAAATGAAATTGAATCGTTTTAGATAGTTGATTGGCCCAGGAACCCACGGATCTTTCTTTTAGATTGTGCGATCAACGTAAGGGGCCTTCCAATGATGTCTGTCTGATTTTAATGAGATTGAAAATGAAGGCTTAGTGTATTTATTATGTGAGGTTATTACAAGGCCATGCTCCATGTTTCCAGATCCGCTACACCAGTTTCGCCTTGCTGGTCTTGACTGTGTGTGTGTGTGGTGAGCACACAACCACACCGTTCCCACAGGCGTACTACCAGGGCAGGATTGATGGCTTCCACTCCCGGATGGAGCAGATCCTGCGCCAGATGATGATGCAACAGATGCACGTGGAGGAAAGAATCCGATCTGACGGGCAGTCTGGCATCAAACAGATCAGACAATACCATGACGGCACAAGACCCTATTATTCTGAGACGCACACATTCAGGTGAGTCAGGTAAATACAGGAGGATAGTGCCATGACGATACAAGGGCCTTCTATTCAGACACACACCTTCAGATGGGTCAGTCAGACAGATAGTGCCATGACGGTACCAGACCCTATTATTCAGACACACACCTTCAGATGGGTCAGTCAGGCAGATAGTGCCATGACGGTACGAGACCCTATTATTCAGACACACACCTTCAGGTGAGACAGTCAGACAGATAGTGCCATGACGGTACGAGACCCCACTGTTCAGACACACACCTTCAGTTGAGTCAGTCAGACAGATAGTGCCATGACGGTACCAGACCCTATTATTCAGACACACACCTTCAGGTAGGTCAGTCAGAAAGATAGTGCCATGACGGTACCAGACCAAACTGTTCAGACACACGCCTTAAATACAGGAGGATAGTGCCATGACGATACAGGGGCCTTTTATTCAGACACACACCTTCAGATGGGTCATTCAGACAGATAGTGCCATGACGGTACGAGACCCCACTGTTCAGACACACACCTTTAGGTGAGTCAGTCAGACAGATAGTGCCATGATGGTAACAGACCCAACTGTTCAGACACACACCTTCAGTTGAGTCAGTCAGACAGATAGTGCCATGACGGTACCAGACCCTATTATTCAGACACACACCTTCAGGTGAGTCAGTCAGACAGATAGTGCCATGACGGTACGAGACCCCACTGTTCAGACACACACCTTCAGGTGAGTCAGTCAGAAAGATTATGCGATGACGGCACTGAAACCCTATTATTGAGAGTGTCGTGGATCGTTGTTCGTTGTGATTTGCCTTGTCCAGACTACCGAGGTCACTCACTCACACACTCACGCACGCACGCACGCACGCACGCACTTGTTACCTTCAGGAGGCCAATGAAAGCATGTAGAATTAACGCCGACGTTAAAGATCTCGAGAACGTTCGAAATGTTAGAGGGATCTCCAGTTTCACATTTGGTCAAATATGATCTTTATTCTTTAGAAGATACTCTCCTTTTGCCCCTTATTACGGAATACATGCATTGGTTGACCCATAATCATAATAGGATTGCACGGTAGGTTTACAGATAAATATTTCTGATCATACCCATATTTCATCTGCTGGCGTTGTTTGTAAACAATTCATACAAATCATTTCTTCGAATGATATCACTGTGCTATTTGTCCGTATTTTTTGTAAATCATCAAATTCGTCTTGCGTCTTCTCGCTTCAAACGTATCATGCCATTGAAAAACTCCATTGGTTATCTCCCATCTTCTGTTTTCAAGGTTATTATATGTTTCCGTTCTATTTAAATAAAAAACCAATTTGTCATCATAGTTGCGTTCCGGAAGTGACGTCACAAACTCTGTCGGTCCTATGACTGAGCACAGAATTTCTCTCGCTCAGGTGTAATGGGTTTACTATTATAGAATGGTCTCTGATATATTACACTGGATAATGGAGGGTGATTGTCACCTTAACACTGACTAGGTAAATTGCAGATGATTCCATGGTCTTTGATTAGGCGATATAACTGGAATACTGTTAAAAGCGGCCTTAAACCCAACTCACCCACCCATCTTTGATTAGCTATCCAAGTGCGTTCTGTTTCCATAAAACTAATTTAAAATTGACCATGGACTTCTGTTTATTGATTGACTGATGGGTGAGTGAGTAAGTTTGATTTTACGCCACTTTTAGAAATATTCCAGCAATATCACGGCGGGGGACACTAGAAATGGGCTTTACACATTGTATCCATGTCGGGAATCGAACCCGGGTCTTCGTAGTGACGAGCGAACGCTTTAACCACTAGGCTACCCGACCGCCCCGATTGACTGATGGTCAAGGCTTGTGGTGCATTATTGCACCGAACGATGCCTCTGCTTTCGTGCCGTTGTCTACAGTTTCTTTGTGTTAATGATTAAGGAAGCAGTCGTAAAGTTTTTATTGTTGACTTTTTAACTCATAAGAACAAATTTGGAGGTATAATAGTAAAGAACAGTCTTCACACATTGCGTAAATCTGCTGTGCTACGCTACGCACTATTTCTTCCTTTACACCTGCATAAACGCTAAAATGTACTGATTGTCTCTCCTTAAAGGGGTGCTGCTGCCGCACACGACCATTCCAACTATGACAGCACCGTTGGACTGGGGGAAGTCAACATGGTTATGAATGGCATTGACTTCAGAACGAGGCACAACGATTACAAACTGCGCAGGTCCGCCACGAATTCTTCACTATATCAACTCAGTGAGGACGTACCGTTCCCTGAAGTACCACCGGAAGTGTTGTCTAAGAAAACAATCACTGAACAGGTGATTTGAGTATATTTACGTCTTTGACACTCTCACAAGGTCTTTGTTCGACAGGCATCGTTAACGTGGTATTTTATCTTTATTAAAATGTCTTTAAATTCTGTCCGTAATGTACTGAAATACTGAAGCCAGATTACAAAGTGGTTGCAAAGTTTGCCCTCTTTTGAATTTCACATTAAGCAAAAACAATGTTTACCTTACTGAATGAATGAATATGGTGGTTCAAGGTTATTGCACTTATACAGCGACATGCATGCGCGGAGGTGTGTGTGTGTGTGTGTGTGTGTGTGTGTGTGTGTGTGTGTGTGTGTGTGTGTGTGTGTGTGTGTGTGTGTGTGTGTGTGTGTGTGTTGTGTGTTTGTGTGTGTGTGTGTGTGTGTGTGTGTGTGTAACGTGGATACCCGACTCAGAGACAGTATACTGACTCCTATCCTACTAGCCGGGGGCACGGGTGGCCCAGTCGTCTAAGGCGCCGCGATTCGCTATGCAGAGTTGCGTCCCTTGGGCACGCCAGAAACCTATGATTGTGGGTTCGAATCCCGGTTCGCCCAAATTATGTTTCTAGGTTTGTAAGCACCATACCCGTGCTCGTGGGTTTCACCGAAGTGGTAAACGTCTGGGACCTGCATCACTTCGGGCTTTCCTCCCACATTAAGCTGACACGCTGTGATATAACTGGAATACTGTTAAAAGCGGCGTTAAACCCAACTCACTCACTCACTCACTCACTATCCTACTAGTGCTTATCGTTTCCCTATAATGCCGAGCGCCAGACATGGTCACAACAAGGGTAACAACAAGTAGCATCTTTTGACGTCGTTTGGTTATCCTCGGGGATCGAACCACCAAATAACCTTTCACTCTTCGGGCAGACGCTCTATCCACTAGACAACGGAGGCGGTTGAATGAAGTCATGAACTAAAAGATATTAGACCAGTAAGAAGAAAGATGACACGCAAGTCATAGTGCCAGACCAGTTGATCCTCAGGGGCGACAAGCCTTTTCCGACCTTTTCCGACCTTGAATTCTGGTTACTATTATTATAATCTTATAGTCATGTAACTGCCTGCCAGATGACCACTATTCGGGTCCATCCGGCATATTCCGTTACCTACAAAATGCCTCGAGCAGCAGCGGAGCAGCAACAAATTGCATTATTTCACCCCATACCGCATAACGCATACCGCATTATTCCGCATATAGTTCGTATATCGAAAAGTGAGAAAAACGAAGAATAAAGTATACAAAGGTTAGTTAAATATAGACATAAAGTATGCAGTTTGATATAGAGCAACATTCACATAAAAGTCGTGTAATGTAATAGTCATTTGAACGAGTGAAACTAGTGAAACCAGTTCCAGTATGGATTCCTCTCAATGCTGACCGAGATGACCCATGGGATTGAGGTGAGCCGCGGACTTCTTCTGTTTAAACACTTGACTTGCCTTGCAACTGTTTGTGATGGGTGCCACCGACAGGATACGCGCACCTTTTCGCGAACACCTTGTATCATCGCTGTATCACCCCTTAATATTATATTTTATAAAGATAATTTAACTAATGCCGATTCATACATACATGCTTGTGGCGTGGTCGGAGTCGTGCCGTTGGTTCTGCGTTTGGCGGAGTTTTCTTGAGTTTAGAAAAACATGGCCGAAACAGTTGCAGAAAATGGCTCCAAATTCCAGTGAAAATGGCCCAACAAATTGGGGGAAATGGACCTGAATTAGGGACCCAAACTAAACTAACACAAACCCGTAGTGATTTAGTTTTTACAATTAATGCATTGAACCCTTTTCGCCCTTCTGATATCATTAATGTTTATTTTGCAATTAGTAGTAGTAGCCATTGTCACATAAAAAGCCAGACAGGCCAGAAATATATTGGAGAAGTGAAGGCTCCAAATTTGAGAAAAGGTCCAATATATTAATTGTTTTTTAGTTAAGGTGAGGTGAAATTGGGTTTAACGTCTCGTCCTAGACTGTCTAGTCCGGACTGATGCCGATTTATAGTGCTAGCACACTGAGATGCCATGCCGCAGTTTATCATGAATATCCCAGACACAGTATACTGACTCCGAGTCGACCTGTCCTTGTTTTAGCTTCTTAATGCCGAGCGCCAGACAGGGTAACAACAAGTACCATCTTTTAACGTATTTTCGTATGACGCGGGCGGGGATCGAACCCGGGACCTTCCGCTCTCCGGCCGGACGCTCTACCTCTAGGCGGTTTTTATAGTTAAGATTGAAATTGTTCTGTCGCTTGTATTGTCCTATTATGGTCTATCACAGGTGGCGGAAATGAGAGAATGGTTCCGAGCATGGAAGGACCAGGACCACAGCGTTCGGGACTACAGGAAGTACTTTAAACCGCTCCTGTGTTACATGGAAGCAGCATGGACGATGGACACCACTCACTTCATAGAGCCCTTCCACAGCGACCGACACGCCATCGACGCTACCAGCTGGCACGACCTTCAGGACAAGATCAGGTTCACATCCTACTCCGGGAGCAAGAACGTCATGGAGAACTTCGCCTTTCTCCCCACCAAAATCATGGATGTTGTGAACGGCACTCCAGAGTTCGCCCAGTGGAACTACCGTATTCTGTGTCATCCACTGAAGAGAGACCTTCCCTTCAAGCACCTCCATCTCCAAGATGACCTTTCTGTAAGATTTGCTCATGGCCAGACCATGGATGAGCTCTATCTAGATCGATCAGCACGATTTTCTCTCTACGATAAGGATGGGTAAGTTCTTGCTGCTGTAATGGACCTGTCCCTAATGTTGTTTAATTTTTTTTTCACGACCCTCTTTAAAGTACTAACGCTTCATAAGCTTGTAAATAATAAACTAATTTGACTTTTCAGTAAATACAGCTCCTTTCGCTTTCTTAATCAAGGGAAGTAACCCTTTCTGGCTGAAAAATTCTGTAAATATCAAGTTTGTTTCAATCTGGCAATCTTAACTTAAGAGATTTTTGTCTCATTTATAAAACTTTTGAGGAAAGAAAGAACAAACAAAAGAGAACTGACTATCCTTATCGTGACCTGAAAGATAAATACTAATTTTACTCAATCACTCAGTCTATATCCATGGTTTGTTTGTCTACCAGCCAGGATACCTACTCTCTCATGGACGAATTGATGAGCGAAGTTCCCGGCAAAGACAACTACTACGCCCATCTGACGGAGGACGTGTTCGGCGAGCTACTGTACGATGCCTCAAAGACAGACGATACACCCCTTAACACAGGTATGTTCCCATGCAGGTCAGTAATATGTGGTCAGCAGTCAGGCCATACTTCTTTACCCGTGCTTGACCCAAAGTAGTATCACGTAACTGTTAAAAAAACAAAAAACAAATCTGGGACCTAGACAGTATCAGAAGTACATATTGTTTTCCTTTGAAAAATCTACAATCTGGTCAACGTCCTATCTAACAGACTGTGGCAGGCACCGGCTGTAAACAAGACAGACCTTAGTCTGTCTTCCAGACATTAGATACTTAAAGTCCAACTCAAGTCTAGAACGATTTGGCAAGTATAGATTGCCTCAACTTAAGGAAAGCTCTTCAATTAAGGACTTTTCATGGCTCCATTTGAATTTGGAAAGATGTATCTTTAAAAAAGATAACGTTATTTCTGGGACTGAATGTCAGTCTAGACAGAAATATGCAGTGGAAAGCTCTGAAATTAAGGATTGTTAATGGCACCATTTGAATTTGTAAGGATATATTTTGTTAATAAGATAAGTTTATTTCTATTACTAAATGTCAGTCTACCCTTTAAGTCGTGGAAGAGCTGAGACAGTGTGATTTTATGGGCACTTCTAGTTATTGTGTCACTCCGTGTGTGTAATATTTGATTGTTTACTGTTATCTGCATTTCTCCAGCTTACTACCACCGGTGGTACAAGGTGGGGAAAAATGGATCTAAACAACAGGTGCTGCACCGTGGTTTCTCCGACCGGAACCTGTGGGTGGCACAGACCAGCCAGCCCATGATAGCCCCCATGACGGTGAAGCAATGTGCTGTGGACCCTGTCTCAAAAAACAAGGTTTGGCATTACCGAAATTATACACATCATTGTGCCTGGTCCATTCCCCACATGGGTACAGTGTGTGAAATTAACTAAGTAACTAAGTCACTCAGTCACTCACTCACTAACTCAGTCACTCAGTCACTCAGTCACTCACTCACTCAGTCACTCACTCAGTCACTCACTCAGTCACTCAGTCACTCAGTCAGTCACTCACTCACTCAAATGTCTTGTATGGTGTGTAATGAGTAATTTTAAGTTTAATTAATCATTTAAAGTTTATTTTGGTAATCCAAATGCATAACCCATAATAATAACCACTCGTTCAGGAGGGGTCACGCATGTCACAAAAAAATTAAATGAAGGAGTGTTATTGTTTATAGTTGTAAGCCAGTGTTAACGCTATTCCAGTTAAATAAGCACAGGGAAACCCAAAATAGGAGACCCGAACCGGGTCTTTACCCATTATGCTACCCCATCGCCCAAATTAGAAGATGAACACGGGACTGTATTCAAGGACCTACACTGCAGGGCAAAAGAAAGTATGCACTTAAACATTGGATTTGACCAAAACATTACAAACTTTATCCAAACGTTCTTGGGCTGAAAACAGTCGCTGAAATTAGGTTTCAGCGACTGTTTTCAGGCCAAAAAATAACTATGACACCCGTATCAAACACATCACCATCAAATAATCATTTCTGGTTGGATTAATTTTGAGCCACTATCCAACATGGGTGTATACTTTCTTTTGCCCGCCTGTTTATATTCAATCTTTGGTGTATCAACTTGAATGGACGCTCTAAATCAATACGCTGATAAATAATTGCGTAAATTACTCTTGGGGAATTAGAACTTGGTTTGTAATCACCGACAATTCGCTATTTTTCATAAATTGACTGTGGTACGTTGTTCATTTTTAAGAAGAAAGGGTGGATTATGAATACATGACGCTTCTTTATGGACAGCAACTTCTTTTATTCTTTGTACGACGTTTAAGATCTACTTCTTGCTCCTTCATCAGGTGAAGTTGATAGCCATAAATAAGTGAATGCATTCACCCGAAGAAGGAGCAAGAAGTAGCCATGAAACGTCGTACAAAAAAATGAAAGAAGTTGCTATCCATAAAGAAGTGTCGTATTCATGTTCTTCCAACTTTTAAATGCCTATCAAAGACTTGGATTATGTTTGTTTGTTTGTTTGTAGTTTAAAGCAATATTCCAGCTACATGACGGCGGTCTGTAAATAATCGAGTCTGGACCAGACAATCCAGTGATGGACATCATGAGAATCGATCCACGCAATTGGGATACGATGACGATGCATCATCAAAGTCAGCGAGCCTGACCATCCGAACCCGCGAGTCGCCTAGAAGGCCTATTCTACCCCGGATCTTAAGGATGAATTTGCCCAGTTGTTTTATGCACAACGCTGAAATCCTTTTCTTGGTGTGCCCTGTCATAATATGGTGGGAATATTGTTTTATGCGGAACAAAACGTTCACTTTTTAAGGTCTAGATACTTATGGTTCCTGTTTTATGTTTAGACGTGCCAGTCGTGGACCCGGCGTTACTCGTACGCCCTACCCCTTGAGGTGATCTATAGTACCCCGATGTTCACCTGGAACCCATTCGGCATAAACTTCTGGAAAAGGGGGACACAGGCTAAAGACCCCAAAAGGATGGGAGGCTCAACGCCCGAGACAGCATACAACGGTTCCAGCTATGCCAACTTCTACCACACGCCTGCTGGGTTGTTCTCGGGCAAAGAAGTGTCCACGGATCCTGCTGACACCACCAAGAGCAATGTTGGAGTGCTGGACAAACACGGGAATGTGCAGCGGGTGGCGGCTTCGGGCACTAGGATCGTCCTTCCCAATATCCCGGGGGTAGGGAAAATCAGGATGCGGTACCCCATCGTGCCAGTCCATATGGAGGGGTCTGGTGTGTGGAAGGAGCTTGACGCTCTCAAGGACATGTTAATGGACATACAAAAGTACAAGGGACTTTTTCATCATCCTCCAACCCTCACCGACTCCAGCAACGGCACTCAATCCTCTGAGGTCAGATAAAATTACCTCAAATATTGCCAAAAATGTTTACAACGATAATGCATCATGCAGGTGTTGTAGAATATAGGAGCTTTAGGATACAGGTGATGGTGTAAGCTGTTTTGAATTCTTGCATTAACATAAGTTATAAAAAGAGTCGTTTAGATGAAAAACGAACTTAAATACCACGTGATACCGTTTATTGGTCTCGGCTCGTTCAGTCGTCCGAGGAGCTGCAATTCATCGTGCAGAGTAGCGTCCCTTACTAGAACCAGGATCTGCTATCTTGACTATGATCCTCGATAAATCACACGACACGACACGACACGACACGACACGACACGACACGACACGACACGATGGGTTTCACCAAATATAAGTGGAAAGACTTACTGGCTTTCCTCCAACGTGAAGCTGACAAGCCGTGCTGTAACTGAAATTATGTTCAAAACTCACTCACACTGAGTGGCGGTAGCTAGGGTAGCCTTGTGGTTAAAGCGTTCGATCGTGATATCAAAGGCCCGGGTTCGATTCCCAACATGGGTACAATGTTGGTGTTACCTCAACGTGATATCGCTGGCTAAAATTGGAGTAAAACCATACTTTTTCACTCTCTTACATGCAGGCTTTGTAAAAGGAAATCCCATATTAATCTCCAAGAAATGTGAGTGCATGAGTTTGGTTTAACGCCGGTTTGAACAGTATTCCAGTTGTATTACGCCGCGTCAGCTTAATGTTGGAGGAAAGTCCGAAGTGATGCAGGTCTCAGACGTTTACCACTTTGGTGAAACCCACGAGGATAGGTATGGCGCTGACAAACCTGGAAACATAACCGTGTCGGACCGGGATTCGAACCCACTATCATAGGTTTCTGTCCCAGGGTCGCAATTCTGCACAGCTAATTGCGTGGCCTAAGACGACTGGGCCACCCCATGTCCTTCTAGAAGAAGAATTACATTCATTTGCAGTAACTTTGATAATATCTTAACTGTACCATTTTGAATATCAAGAATGGTGTTATATTTGTAAACGCCAATGTTTTATCCAGAAAACGCTACACCTGAGAACCGGCGTCGCAACCAGGACCCCTCCAGGTCCACACGTCCATGACATCTTCTTGTCCCCCGACGTTCAGGAGTCTATGAAAAATGGAGAGCGCAAGACGATGGTCACAAGCGAAGCTCTAGGTCACACCCATCAGCTGATACTAAGCTACAAAAACACGTACTCCATCTTATGGTGTGATGGACAGACGCACTGCTGGGACGGTCATCCTATGAATTTGTATCCAGCGTGAACTTCGTGAACTGTATCCATGGACTAGCATCCTGGTAAAAATTCTGAATAAAGTGCCTGAAAAAAACTAACAGTTATATGAGACATTTTTACAGGAGTGAGAGAATGTGTGTTGTACGCCGCTTTTGGCAATATCCCAGCAATAGCACGGCAGGGGACGCCAGAAATGGACTTCGAACATTGTACCCATGTTTTGAATCCAACCCGGGTCTTCGGCGTGAAGAGCGAACGCTTTAACCACAAGGCTACCCCACTGTCCGGCAGGGTCACAAGATGCAAAAATGCGTCTGACTGTGTGTTTTGTCTAACTCCGCTCTGAACAATATTATGCCAGCTTATTAATGGAGGAAAGGTTGTGCAAGTTATTTGAAGCAGACATGAGGAGAAGAAACCCCTCAAATGAAAACTATAACTGAAAACGGAAATTCAGCCCTTTTAATAAACCCACAAGATATTTATAATAAACACATTATTTACAAATTGAACTTCCCTGGTATGGAAGTATGCACTTGGAAGTATAACCCTAGTAGGGCTCTGAAAACACTCAAGCTTTGAGTAGGAGCATCTCGCGATGCGTCCTGCTCCTATCTCATCTGCCAAGTTCAAGGAGTCACGTGTTACATTCTACCCGCCAAGGAGACATACGAATTCCTCGAAGTAGGTTACGTTCGGTCGATTCCGCGAAGCTAGTGCGTTCGAAAGATGTCCCGGTAACCTGTCCGAGAACACCTTCTGAACAAGACATTTACAATTTGGTGAAGCCGAAAGGCACGGGCATGGCGCTGACAAACCAAGGATCAATCACCACACGAAGGGACTGTATTTTCCAAATTGATGCGTTTTAGGAAATGAACGTGTCATCAGAGGGCATATGACCAACGTTTGAAATGTACATATCATTTGCATTTATAACGCAGGTCAATCAAGGGCACATATGATTTTTTGTTTGTTGTTTAACGCCGCACTCAGCAATAGTCCTGCTATATGACGGCGGTCTGTAAATAATCGAGTCTGGACCAGACAATCCAGTGATTAACATCATGAGCACCGATCCACGCAATTGGGAAACGATGACATGCGAGCCTGACCACCCGATCCCGTTAGTCGCCTCTTACGGCAAGCATAGTCGCCTTTTACGGCAAGCATGGGCTGCTGAAGACTTCTAGGGTTGCCTCTAGCCCGGATCTTCACGGGTGCTATGAACATATACCCTGCCATTACTCTCCTGTATTTTCTAACGTGTGAGAAAATCGTAAATGATGTTTATAGATGGCACAGATTTCATTACCTTGAAATCCTATATGCATAGGTTTAGATTTATCCTATTTTTCGCTCCTAACTGTTCTTTCATAGGTAAATGGAAGAATACCATATTGACAAAAAAATGCATTTATTTCAATGGTTCCATAATATAACAGCGTTATATCCTCACTATTGGCTCGTTAGTGTACAGCAACCACGTCAGTGACGTAATGAAGTTATAAGTAACATATGGCGATTCCACTTTACCACTGAAGTTTCCCGTGCACGTTGACTATTTGTTACCCCTGACTTCATCGAAGCACTGCATTGAATTGCTATCAGGTTTTATTTTAACAATGGATATTGGGATATTAATGTACAAGTTGTGTATATGACGTGAAATTTTAAGCATACTAAATACGTGGGTGCACTCCCCCGCACGTTTATATGCATGGGGTTATGTTTTGAACCTTTTCCTAAGATCTAATGGCTACTGTTGCGTTCGGAACAAATATGTTTGTGTTAAGGACATGATTCATGTAAGTATGTTTTCATAAACATATACGACGCGGTCGGGTAGCCCAGTGGTTAAAACGTTCGCTCGTCACGCCTAAGACCCGGGTTCGATTCCCGACATGGGTACAATGTGGACAAATACTAGTAGTTTGTTGCAGACCTAGTTTGTGTTTACAAAAGAAATTCATAGTCTTACATCGTCTTGATGGAACTGAAAAAGTCACCGTGAACAATACAACAATATGCAAACTGTTTAAATGTCAGTTGATGTTCAGGATCTATACTAATGAATACTACTATAACAAACCTATAGTTTTCATTCTATGGCTTTTCTCGAGTTTCTAAATAGTAACAGCCTTTTTAACTTTCTGACATGTACACACCTAAAACCCACACGAATATGGTAGAATATGCGGGAATAACATGCATTCTTAAAAGAGGGATATGTCCTTATAAGTGAATTTGTAAGATCGTACCTCACTATGACATTTCAATTCCTCCAGATAACAATTACTAGCATGCAAATTTATTTCCTGATTCAACTAGGCGTGTTATATTATCGCAGAAGCTGACGACAGCGATGCATGTCTAAGTTACAGTAAGTGACGTGTAGCTGTTTTGAGTATCATTCAGTGAGGTAGAGTTCAAGTGACAGACCCGTGAAGATCCGAGTCAGGATAGATCTTCAGCAACCCATTCTTGCCGTAAAAGGCGACTATGCTTGTTGTAAGAGGCGACTGACGGGATCGAGTGGTCAGACTCGCTGACCTGGTTAGTGCATGTCATCGTATCCCAATTGCGATGATCGATGCTCATGATGTCAATCACTGAATTGTCTGGTCCAGACTATTTACAGACCGCCGTCATATAGATGGACTATTGCTGAGTGCGGCGTTAAATAACAAACAAACAAAAAGCATAAGTGATACCTGCATTTGATCAGTAAGTAGAGATCCGTAGAGTAATACAGGTACGCAAGTTAAAAAGGGTACATTTGGTAATTACGCAAAGTGATGTTATACTATTGAGTATTAAATTTTCATGCACATACGAGGGGCGTTCAATAAGTTTTGTAACTTCAATATAAGACCAAGTCGCAGAATATCTTTTGCATTTTTATTTTTCAATATAATCTCCATTCACCTCAATACACTTAGTGCAAAAGATATTCTGCGTCTTGGTCTTACATTGAAGTTGTAAAACTTATTGAACGCCCCGCGGATATATATGTGCACATTGTGAAGAAACTCAAAATTAATTGGTTTATGCTGATGTTTTGTGTGTAATTTACGCACATATGCAGCACAGAAATGCTGTTCAAAGTGATGGTTACGATATAATTCAGCTGTGGGACTCAAGTCCCAAGTGCATGCTTGTAGTTGTGTAATATGTGTATAAGTGGTCTGGCCCTGTGGCCTGTCTGACTGATGTCATCTTGCCAAGTGTCACGGGTCGGTGCTCATGGTTTCGACCACTGGTTTGCTTTTCCATGTTCATGTGTTAACAGACCGCCTCCGTGGTAGAATGGTAACGCTTCCGCCCGGAGAGCGGAAGGTCCGGGGTTCGATCCCCAGCCGCGTCATACCAAAAGACGTTAAAAGATGGTACTTGTTGTTACCCTGTATGGCGCTCGGCATTAAGGGGCTAAAACAAGGACTGGTCGACTCGGAGTCAGTATACTGTGCCTGAGTGGGGTATTCATGTTAAACTGCGGCATGGTATCTCAGTGTGTTAGCACTATAAATCGGCATCAGTCCGGACTAGTATAAGCAGCCACACACATACACATACACGTTCATGCACGTCGCTATATAAGTGCAATAATCTTGGAGCCGACCAGTCCTTGTTTTAGCCCATTAATGCCAGGTTACCAACAAGTACCATCTTTTAACGTTTTTGGTATGACGCGACCGGGGATCGAACCCCGGACCTTCCGCTCTACGGGCTGACGCTCTACCACTAGACCACGGAGGCGGTCACCTGATACAGGAATGTATATGATAGATGATAGAATCATCTGTAGCCTCTCTCCTGAAACATGGGTGTGTATGATATGTAGTATGTGATAATATAGTCGTATTTTGTGTCATGCTTCGCTAGTCATTCTTAGGCAAGGTAACCCCAGTGGAAGGTCATGGAAGGTCACTAGTAACCTACGCTTGTAGTAAGGCGACTTAATGGATGGGGAGGTCAGACTCGGTGACTTGGTTAAATAAGCGTCACCGGACTGATGCCTATAGGCTTGACGTTGCTCATAATATCAATCACTGGATTATGAGTTACATGGTGTCAGTTACGGGGTATACGAGAGGAATGGGCTCGAACACCACGAGGCTTAATTCCAGTTTTGTCTTGATAATATTCCAAGTTTTATCAGCACCATACCCCTGTTCGCACACTTACACGCCAACAAGAAAACTACCGATCAAAGCGGCCATAAACCAAACTCGCTCAATTATGTTCAGCAAAAATGAATAGAGAATATTATTATTTATACCATGGGTACAGTATAAGAAGCGCGTATAAAGACAAAGAGTTAAGCTCTATACTGAGAACAATCAGACCCGAGGCGATACTGGGTCTCTCATGTTGAATACCAACTTCATCCGGCTACTTGTTCCTTAATTGCTCAGCTTTAGAAGAAAGAAACCACAAAACCTACTACATACACATATTTAACATGTGAATGTTTCAAACTTTTGTCTACATCTCCAGGTAAACTACAGTTTCGTGGCGCTATTCTTACTATGTGCGTGTGTTTGTACTAGTCCGGACACCTTTTTTTTATATTTCAAGCAAGATGCAGGGTAATAACAAGTACCATGTTTTAACGTATTTTGGTATGACGCGGCCGGGGATCGAACCCCGGACCTTCCGCTCCCTGGGCTGACTTCTGTCTACTTAACCACTGAGGCGGTCTTTGTAAACAGTAAACGTCTATGTGTCTGCGCAGAGTTCACTCCCTCAGTAATTTCAGGATCCTATGATCATGGCTTCAAATCCCCAATTAGCCAATATTGATAAAACATCTCTGCTTGCACGCCATGAAACAAGTAAAAAAATCTTTAAAGCGGAGTTAGACCAAACACACAGTCAGTCGCACTGATGCAATTTCTGACCAAGGTTAAAGCGAGCATTCTCACGTCACAAAGAAGGCCCGGGTTCGAATCCCAACATGGGTACAGTGTGTGAAGCCCATTTATGGTGTCCCCCGCCGTGGTATTGCTGGAATATTGCTGAAATCGGCGTAAAACCATACTCACCCTGAGAACTACAATATTAGCTATTCCCGATTTCCTATGACGTTAATAGTCGCCA